TGTGTTACTGACTTCATGCATGTAGGCACTGTATAGGTTGTGTTACTGACTTCATGCATGTAGGCACCGTATAGGTTGTGTTACTGACTTCATGCATGTAGGCACTGTGTAGGTTGTGTCACTGTCTTCATGCATGAAGGCACTGTGTAGGTTGTGTTACTGACTTCATGCATGTAGGCACTGTGTAGGTTGTGTTACTGACTACATGCATGTAGGCACTGTGTAGGTTGTGTTACTGACTTCATGCATGTAGGCACTGTGTAGGTTGTGTTACTGACTACATGCATGTAGGCACTGTGTAGGTTGTGTTACTGACTTCATGCATGTAGGCACTGTGTAGGTTGTGTTACTGACTTCATGCATGTAGGCACTGTGTAGGTTGTGTTACTGACTTCATGCATGTAGGCACTGTGCAGGTAGTTCACTGACGTCATGCATGTAGGCACTGTATAGGTTGTGTTACTGACTTCATGCATGAAGGCACTGTATAGGTTGTGTTACTATCTTCTTGCATGTAGGCACTGTATAGGCTGTGTTACTGACTTCTTGCATGTAGGCACTGTGTAGGTTGTGTTACTGACTTCATGCACGTAGGCACTGTATAGGTTGTGTTACTGACTTCTTGCATGTAGGCACTGTATAGGTTGTGTTACTGACTTCATGCATGTAGGCACTGTGTAGGTTGTGTTACTGACTTCTTGCATGTAGGCACTGTGGAGGCTGTGTTACTGACTTCATGCATGTAGGCACTGTATAGGTTGTGTTACTGACTTCATGCATGTATGCACTGTGTAGGTTGTGTTACTGACTTCATGCATGTAGGCACTGTGTAGGTTGTGTTACTGACTTCTTGCATGTAGGCACTGTATAGGTTGTGTTACTGACTTCATGCATGTAGGCACTGTGCAGGTTGTGTTACTGACTTCTTGCATGTAGGCACTGTGGAGGCTGTGTTACTGACTTCATGCATGTAGGCACTGTATAGGTTGTGTTACTGACTTCATGCATGTAGGCACTATGTAGGTTGTGTTACTGACTTCATGCATGTAGGCACTGTGTAGGTTGTGTTACTGACTTCTTGCATGTAGGCACTGTATAGGCTGTGTTACTGACGTCATGCATGTAGGCACCGTATAGGCTGTGTTACTGACTTCTTGCATGTAGGCACTGTGTAGGTTGTGTTACTGACTTCATGCATGTAGGCACTGTATAGGTTGTGTTACTGACTTCTTGCATGTAGGCACTGTATAGGATGTGTTACTGACTGCATGCATGTAGGCACTATATAGGCTGTGTTACTGACTTCATGCATGTAGGCACTGTATAGGTTGTGTTACCGACTTCTTGCATGTAGGCACTGTATAGGCTGTGGTACTGACTTCATGCATGTAGGCACCGTATAGGTTGTGTTACTGACTTCTTGCATGTAGGCACTGTATAGGCTGTGTTACTGACTTCATGCATGTAGGCACTGTGTAGGCTGTGTTACTGACTTCATGCATGTAGGCACTGTGCAGGTTGTGTTACTGACTTCTTGCATGTAGGCACTGTGCAGGTTGTGTTACTGACTTCTTGCATGTAGGCACTTTGTAGGATGTATCACTGACTTACGGCAGGCACTGATGTTGGTCATATTATTATTTTATTCGCTGCTTGATACTACCCACAGTACTAGTAGTAAAGCATCTAAGAGCTTAATAGTCGATAAATACGAAGGGTGTCGAACCACATCACGAAATGGCACTAAGAAATCTAGATAGTCCAACCTGTCACCAACTTGTCAACACTATAAACACGGTGATGCAAAACGAGACCTGGCCTTGTGAGAATGCGTTTAATGTTGCGTTGAAAGCACACAGTCATGTCCTCTTAAAAACTCCCTACCCGGATGTAGCTATTCTCGTGTTTACCTCCACCCTGTGGTATTTAAATCCACAAGTGCAGGTCGTGTGACGGGGACGGTTACGCCCAGTCACGACAAGGAACATGCTGTAACCAAATAAAAGAAGCACTTCGTTTTAACCCGAAAAGCATCTGACTTCTAGAAGGGATATTGTTGCCTTTACAAAAAATAATCAAAGCGGCCACAATGAAACATGGCTACATTTCGTCAAAATGTCGCGTTTTCGCATTGTCGTGTAATTTCTTACTGTCTATTTTTAAAACTTTAACAATTACGTGCATACGTACCCCCCCGAATAAGGAACTATCACACAGTGGGTTAAAGTGTTATCTGAAGATTGAGGTATTATATGTAGACATCGTATATTATTATTATTAATTTACCAAGCTCTCAAAGCTCTTTTCGTCAAGAGATATACACATTTGAATGAGTGAATGTGTTTTGTTTAACGCCGCTCTGAACAGTGTTTCAGTTATAAATTTATAACAGCGTGTCAGATTGATGTAGGAGGAAAGCCCGAAGTGATGAAGGTTTTAGAGTGAGAGAATTCGGGTTTAACACCACTTTGAACAGTATTCCAGTTATACCACGGCTTGTCAGCTTAATATGGAAGGAAAGCCTGAAGTGATGCAAGTCTCAGATGTTTACCACTTTGGTAAAACCCTCGAGCACGGCTATGGTGCTGACACGCCTGAAAACAATACACTGTACGTGCAAATATAGGACTCGAAATCACGATGCTTGGTTTCTTGCACGCCAATGGGACGCAACTCTGCACAAGACATTACCACCAATATGACTTATTTGCTTAAAACCATTACGACTATGGCTCTGTTACCAGTTGATACCTTTAATGCGTTTCGTAGGGAGCTGGTCGTGAGTTACCTCTTCTTCAAATATAGCATCTTTTCAGAAAGTCATTTACGCGGGACATGTTGTTTCAGAGGGTGGGATCGCGAAAGAATTAAGCAATTAGGTCTTGGTCGAGAGCCACCACTTTTGAGGAGGTACGTCAAGTCTTGGGATTCGCAGTTTATTACCGCCAGTCTTTACAAAAAACCCTGCTCAGATATCAAAACCTTTGTGCAAGCTACTGCCTGACCCACTTCCAAAGTAGAGACAAAAGTCATCTGGGGAGAGGGTGTGAGTGGGGACCTCAGCAGGAACATGCAAGGATGAATTGATGCGTGTTCAAGGCTGGGTAATGTGATTATACCCTTCCATTTGAACCGCACCTTTTGGGACAGTTTTATAAACCTAACACCGTAATACCCGATATTGTAATAGGTACCTGACAATCTCGGCTAAACAAAAATGGGAAGTAAATTAGTAGGCAGCTCATCTTCCAAAAACTGAATTTTTGAAATGTTCCTCTTCCAAACCGGTTTTGAAATGGGTCACTTCTAAACCTGCTTTGAGGTTTTACATTTCAATTCTAAGAACTAGGTTTTACAATTGACGTTTCAGAAACTGGCCTTTTGATATAATGAATATAACGTTGATTTTGTATTGGTTAATGTGCAACGGGTATGGTGCTGAGAAACCTGGAAATATAATCGGGGCGAACCGGGATTCGAACCCACAATCACAGGTTTCTGGCGTGTTAAAGGGACGTAACTCTGCACAGCGATTTACTGCACATTGGACGACTGGCTAACTTGTGCCCACCGTAATACAGTAAAATATCAGAGTATATAAAAATATTGATTGATAAAGCGCTCATAGCCTATGAATGAAACTTGGGACCGTTATACATGTTAGATAGCAGTTGGGCAAGGTGTTTGACAAAGTTTATTGTAAGGCATAAAATATTCTGCCTGTTCGACGGGTGTTAACTGCTGGAATGCGGGGTTTGCAAACGCTACATCTTTTCACAAATACAACTGTTTGTCATTCGTCTGTCAAACCTGTGGTTCCCGTTCACGCTGCTTGTACAAACACTCACGTTGCCCTATTCACGGTGTTTTATAATAGGTTACCTTGTATCCTTGTGATCGTTACAACAGCTGTTTACACGTGCCTATCCCGATCCTGCCGTGCACAAAGCGACCTCTCTGGTTATGCAAAACACACTTACGTGTCACTTTCACTGTGTTCTCAGTTAATTGATAGGTTCTTCGGAGAATACAATAACCCGTTTGACATCCAGAGTGGTACTAAACGGTCGAGTCACGTCGCTTTACATAGTGTTTAGCCCCGGGTTAGAATTGATCTTCAGCAACCCGGGCCTGCTTGTCGTCAGAGCTAGGCGACTAAGGAAATCGGGTGGTCATACTCGTTGACTTGGTTGATGCATGTCTTCGTATCCCATTTGCGTAGTTCGATGCACGTGATGTCAATCACTGGATTGTCTGGTCCAAATTTGATTATTTACAGCCCGCCATGACTGGAATACTGCTGAGAGCGACGTTAAACAACAAACAAACAAAACATGGTGTTTAATGGTATTGACATCGCATCATAGTTTTGTAAACACTCAGGTCAGTGATTAACGGCAACATTTATCAGAAATGATATGTTTTAATTAAATTCATGATGACCCCGCAAAATGATTTATCCAATCTCTATCTTCGTCACATCGAGCTCGGCCAATGAGAGTGAATGCGCTGGAATGCGGATGTGGAGCGAGTGCGAAGTAGCATGCATAGCTGGGGTAACGCTCGACAGGGTTGAGTGGCGTTTTATGGTCTGACTTACAAACGCATATAACCTGATGAAGAAATCAAATTTAAACATCCACATGTGGGCTGTATATTGTCGCTGTGAATGTCGTCGACAGGTGCCCCATAACGCATGTTACTAACACCAGGTAATGACATAAAATAAAAAATGTGAAAATCGAAACAATTATTCAACAATATATTCATGGCGTAACTTATAAAAAATCACCGCATCAATAAACACCATTTTAACACGAATACATTGTCTCAGAGTCACATCACCGCCTGTTGGGTTTAACTGCGCCCCAGGGCTTTTCCGTTGATACACGTTGAGCGCTGACTTTGTCAACACGTGTTAGATCTACAACGCAGTTACTTCCCTTTTCACCTTCCCTGAGTAGATGTGCTGTGGCTGCTGGTGAGCCTATTCCGGCTACTATGCTTCCTAATAGAGTTGAGTGAATTCCGCGAAAACAGGTTGTAGTTCGTCAACAACTGACGAGACCACATTGATGTCTATTTGTTATGAAGATCTAACTCCGAGATGAAGTATGTTTGGAAGTATGTCCTGTACTGGGGAACCTTGGTCACTTTTATAGATTTGTCAGCTGGGCTACAAGAAAATGCGTGAGTACAGGGGTTTCTATTTATGAAACTTGTAACAATTGCGTCTAATGGATTTAGTGAGAAACAAGATGTATGCATTGTGATGAATTCTACATAACGGGAGGTGCACGTGGACATCACCCGTTATAGTGATTTAGGAATAGGTCATTAATGGCGGTGGGGAGGTTGGGGTTGAATGGGGTTGGGTTGGGTTGGGTTAGGTTAGGCATGGGAAAATGACAACGAAAGAGGGCAGTCTATGTACAACTACTTTGAGGGAGCCGTGAAAAATAGCTTCTATTTCTTTCATTGTATGTTTTTTCATACATTTGAATTTTTACATTTTTTGCATAAATGAAATTGTTGTATGCTGTTTACTCCAGCATGTAGGATTTATCATGTTAAATTAATGTAGTCAGGACCGGGGACCTGTTACAGAAATACATTGCCTGTCTGTATTTCGGCTTCAAAGGGGAAATCTAATAATGAGTAAGTCAGTGACCTTAGATGAATTTGTACCTGAATATGTGTACTGTCTTTACCTACATCTACAGAACACCAACCAGGGTCAAAGACAAGGTGATGATCTAATCCTTTTAATAAAAAAACTATTAAATCAGCAACTGTGACAACTATAATAACCATGTTATGTTGGAGATAAAAAAAATAATGTATTGAAAGAACAAAGTCTATATCTCGTCTCACAGTCTTCATTTCTGGTTGGGGAGTCCATTTCTGGTGTCCACGGCAGTGATTTGTTGGATATTGCTTAAAGCGACGTAAAACCATACTCACTCCTAATATGAACTTCTTGCGGGTCGAATTTGTTCTCTTCATACATTTTCCCTTAACTTTGAATTTTCATGACCCGTGTGTATATTTACACACAGATTTACACAGTGTGAAAACCGTTTTGACCTGCATACTTCCATAAACACAGCACACAGTTGGGTACCACGGCACCACGGGCTTGTGACAGTGTAATGCCTACGTGATAATTACGATGCCATATGTAGTCAAGCTGAAGTATTTCATAAAAAATGTCACTTCAAACGTTACATATACAATAACCTACTGACATTATTCCGATACATACTGAACACAAAACATGACTAATGATGGGATATTTTTATGAAATTGTGTGCTCAGCTTTCACTGCAAAAGTATTCTCCAAAATATTTATGATCCCCAAATGTTTCTGTTCAACATGTACACATGTGATTATGATGTTAATGGTCACCTCGCAAGCGACACATGCTTACAAAATGTTCTCTACATTATGGTCAACCACTTCACTGGAAACGTTCCCATTTGATTAAAGTTACAAAATTTAAGGCCTCATGTAAAGCTTTCAAAAAGTCTTATGGTAGACATGTGGAGATCATTTCCAAATTTGACGCATCAGTGACAAAAATGATGTCCGATGCAATTCCCTATTTTGACTTGTACCATATGTTCCCGTGTTTTTTCATGTGAACAATTGACTTGCCTTTGCATGTGTTTGTGACGGGTACCATCGATGGGGCAGGGTACGCTCACCATTTCGCGAACACCTGGTATCATCACTATTTGATAGTGATTCATAAACACATGATCTTGACATAGTCGGAATCGTACGGTCGACTCTGCTTTTGGTAGAGATTTCTATTGAATATGAAAAGGGTTTTGTCGCTTATAATTATATAATAAATTATTCATTGCTTGTGTCAATTACAACGTCAAAACCTCACGAATCTCCAGCACACGACAGGAGACACGAAAGACGTTTCTACTGAAGAATCCTGCCGAATCCATTATGAAACCAGGTATTTTCGTGCAAAACGTTTATGTTTTACCATTAACGAAAATACAAATAATATATGAGACCGATCCCATTATTTATAACAGATAACTAGAAACACATTTGAAACACACCCTGTTTGACACTGAAGCATGTCGTTTGTTCTGGTTGCCAGGTACTACCCACAATTTTTGATAATGTATAATGTATAAACATTTGTGAACGTCTTTATGACAGAGTAGCAAAGCGTAAAAGGCATGGGTTAAATGTAGCGTTGTTAACGCACCACCTCCACACAGAGCCATACAGAAGGTAACCCGGATTTGACCTGGTTAAACGTTGAAACTAGGTGGGGTCGCTATCCACGAGAAAGTCATGGGAAGGTCCACTGGGACGTGTATGGTTTGTCAGTTCAGTCAACCGTCAACAATGGTTGCAGCTTTATTAACTTACAGGTTGATATGGGTCACCATTGTGTGTCTTGTTTCTCCACAACCGGGACCTCTGTAGTGCTATTATTCCAACACGTATGTATAATTCATGCTTAATGTCCATTGCAACAACAAATGTGGCCAACATAACTGTGAACGTCAAGAGAAATAATGATAGCTAATATTTGATATGTATAGCCTTTTCCTCACAGCGGACTGATGTACCGTTACAAATGTCTGTTTACCATCCTGCGTTACAGGTGTGGTTTTTATAAAGCGAATAACATCGCAGTGACATCAATAAATGAAGGACAATACACACCGCCAGTAGTCAATAAACTAATCAGTGCATGACTGTACGTCCATCAAGGCATGCGTTAGCTGAGGAGGGTTCCCTTACTAAAGTACTGTCGGAAATGCTAGGAAACTGCTTTTCTGCCTTCATTTAATAAATACGAGTCGTAGGACTATAAAAAGAGCATATATCAAAATAACGCGAATTGCCGTAATCTAGCCTGTCCTAAATGACACTGTGATTACCCTTAAATTGTACTTTTACAGGTAAAATGATGATAAACTTAGAAAATATTCGTGTGTTGTCATGCATGTATGAAATGGCATATCACCTGAGGTAATTACCTGACACCTGTCCCGAGGTGATGACCTTACACCGTCCCGTGCATTCTCCCAGGTGCAAATGTCGCCGAGTTGGGGGTGGTATCAAAATATAGCTGTAATGGTACTTAATTGACATGCGTGGATGAGGTAACAATTTAGGATATGTACTGCATTATATTTGCTTAGAAACATGATGGAGTAGTTAAGAGCTATGAAACGGGATGAGTATTGTAAGGTTGCGGTTTTGGAATCCAGATGTATTTGTTGTTCTACAGATGGTTTCTTGAGGTAGCATTTATCTCCGCTGATGACGTATGACTGTGATAGGTATGAATGGTTCGGAGATAATGTGACCTCATAGACAGGATGGAATATTTTCCCCTGAAAAGTGCTCGGTCATCGCCACGCGCCGTGTATCGAAATCCCATCTCTTGGAGAGCAATAGTGCAGTCCGGGAAACATTAATTGTATCTTTAATTCCTCCCAAATTCTACTACAAGTCAGGGTTACCTTCTGCTCATAAAGCTTGTACACTATACGCCTAATCAACCTGTATCAAAGCTGTCTAAATCCTTTTACGCCCCAGTTTTGTTTTTGAGACCACCCCTATACCTCTTTTGTTTTCTTATCATACCGTAGACTTGATGGTATGAATTGAAAACACCATAGCTTGGGCAGTTCGGTAATTCACCCTATCTAAATAAATGGTTTCCCTCTATCTCTCTAAAGTGTAAAGAACTTGTATGCATTTCCAAGTACAGATTCCATGTCGTGTACCTTGGTTATGGCTATGCAAGTGTAATGTAACATGCATCATGGGCGCAATGTTAACAAACAAAAGAACGCAGCGACATTTTGCCATTTTAGAAGATGCACATCTAGAATTTTCTCAAAATGAATTTTGTGTGTGGAGTAGATGTTTTATGAAGACTACATTATTATTTTTGTAACGGAGTTACGTGCGCATATTTCTATAGTCCCTTTCAGACTGCCACTGTGAACTTCATGTTTTCGTTCGAATTTGTCTCCTGTAAACTTGTCGATAGGACTCCTTGTGAAATACTTCAAACCACAGGTAGGGCGATCGGTATTTATTCGATATTTCAATAACAACAGTCTGTGAAAAAATATATCCCTTTTTAACAGGCAAAAAGCAGTTTTCTAGCATTTCCGACAGTACTTTACTCACGCCTTATCTCTACATGCATACTCTTCTTACAGGGTCTTCTCACACTTAGTCTTCTCATACACCTCCTTCTTACAGGGTCTTCTCACACTTAGTCTTCTCATACACCACCTTCTTACAGGGTCTTCTCACACTCGGTCTTCTCATACACCTCCTTCTTACAGGGTCTTCTCACACTTAGTCTTCTCATACACCTCCTTCTTACAGGGTCTTCTCACACTTAGTCTTCTCATACACCTCCTTCTTACAGGGTCTTCTCACACTTAGTCTTCTCATACACCTCCTTCTTACAGGGTCTTCTCACACTCGGTCTTCTCATACACCACCTTCTTACAGGGTCTTCTCATACACCACCTTCTTACAGGGTCTTCTCACACTTAGTCTTCTCATACACCACCTTCTTACAGGGTCTTCTTATACTTAGTCTTCTCATACACCACCTTCTTACAGGGTCTTCTCACACTTAGTCTTCTCATACACCTCCTTCTTACAGGGTCTTCTCACACTTAGTCTTCTCATACACCTCCTTCTTACAGGGTCTTCTCACACTCGGTCTTCTCATACACCACCTTCTTACAGGGTCTTCTCACACTTAGTCTTCTCATACACCTCCTTCTTACAGGGTCTTCTCACACTTAGTCTTCTCATACACCACCTTCTTACAGGGTCTTCTCACACTTAGTCTTCTCATACACCACCTTCTTACAGGGTCTTCTCACACTTAGTCTTCTCATAACCTCCTTCTTGCATAGTCTTCTTACATAGTCTTCTCACGCAAACCTTCTTACATAGTTTCCTCATGCACAACCTCCTTGCATGGTTTTCTCACGCACAACCTTATTATCTCGTTTCACAAATAGTTTTCCTATGGGACGTTCACGTAGGGAGTTTTTAGGGGGTTCAGTGGAAACGCTCGTTTATTCTCCAACGGTAGTCAAGCGGATGCAGGCCCCTCAACCAAGGATTTTCAAAAGAAAGGTCGCCATTATAGCCCGAATTTTGATATGATGTTGGCATTGTTTGTTTGTTTTAAATGCATGCAGTATTATAATAAATGTTATCTTTCCAGGAAAAATGTATTGACAAAGCTCACCTACAGGAATTCAAAGTACACAACCAAATGTGGCTTTTTGAACTGGGACCGTTGTACAAGAAGCAGGTTGGTGCTTTTGTTGAAAGTGTTCCTTGCCACAAGATCCTAATACATCACATGTCCGAAAGCAGGAGGTTGTTGTAATGATTTGTCAGCTACATAAACATTTAACATTTCAAAGGATTGGTACCTTGAGGTGAGGTGAAATGATGTTTAACATCGAATTCAAGATTATTGCACTTATATAGCGACGTGCGTGCGTGCGTGCGTGCGTGCAGCTGCTGACTAATGCCGGTTTTATAGTGCTAGCCCGAGATACCATGTAGCAGTTTAAAATCAATACCCCACTCAGACACAATATACTGACTCCGCACCGACCAGTCCTTGTTTTATCCTCATAATGCCGAGCGCCATATATATAGCACCATATATATAATAAGTACCCTATTTTACCGTCTTTTCATGTGTCGTGGCCGCGGATCGAATAATATACCTTCCGCTCTCCTTGCAGACGCTCTATCCACTAGAAAGTTTGTCTTTCATAACACGAGTCTGCTACTCAATGAGTATTGTGTAATTGATCAACAAACCTAATCTGCAGTGACTATTAATCAAACCATTTCACCATTTCAGAAAAGTCTCAGACAAATCATTTTATTGCAAGAGTGGGTACAGATCAACGAACGATGTCAGCTGCCCTCATCGTAAGTCACTGATTGATATTCAGTTAAGTAAAATAGTGAGTGAGTGAACGCCACTTTTAACAGTATTCTAGCTACATCACAGCGTGTCAGTGAGAGGATAGCTTTTCACTTTGTTGAAACCCAAGAGGACGGGTATGGTGATGATAAATCAAGAAATATAATCTGCGCGAAACGTGATTCTAACCAACAATCATAGGTTTCTGGCATGCCGAAGGGACGCAACTATGTACAGCGAATTGCAACGCCTTGGACAACTGGTCCACCCGTGTCCCCCTTCAGATCAATGATCGACATGACCTATAGAACGTTGGAAAAGCATTGCTTGTTTCATAACCACACACTTTGTGTTATAACATCACGTGCGGGCGGGTCTGTTCCGAATGGGGCTGTCGATATCACAATGCAACTGTATCCACCATCTCACTTGCTCACAGACCCGTGACGATCCTGGCTAGAATAGGTCTTCAGTAACCGACTGTTGTCGTAGGAGGCGACTACCGAGACCGGGTGGTCCGGCTTGCTGACTTGGTTGATGTATGTCATCGTTTCCCAACTGCGTGGATCGATTTCTATGATATTAACCACTGGATTGTCTGGTTCAGATTCAACTATTTACAAACAGCCACAAACAGACCTCGGGTAAAGAACTGACAATCTCATTGTCTAGACCCCGGGTAGAGAATCGACAATCTCATTGTACAGACCCCGGGTAAAGAACTGACAATCTCATTGTACAGACCCCGGGTAAAGAATTGACAACCCCACTGTACAGACCTCGGGTAAAGAATTGACAATCTCATTGTACAGACCCCGGGTAAAGAACTGACAATCTAAATTGTACAGACCCCAGGTAAAGAATTGACAACCCCACTGTACAGACCTCGGGTAAAGAACTGACAATCTCATTGTACAGACCCCGGGTAAAGAATCGACAACCCCCTTTGTACAGACCACGGGTAAAGAATTGACAATCCCATTGTACAGACCCCAAGTCAAGAATTGATAACCCCATTGTCTAGACCCCGGGTAAAGAATCGACAACCCCTTTGACAGTCCACAGGTAAAGAATTGACAATCCCATTGTACAGACCCCGGGTAAAGAATTGATACCCCCCATTGTACAGACCCCGGGTTAGAAATTGACGACCCCATTGTACAGACCCCGGGTAAAGAATTGACAACCCCACTGTACACACCCCGGGTAAAGAATCGACAACCCCTCTGTACATACCCCGGGTAAAGAATTGACAACCCCACTGTACATACCCCGGGTAAAGAATCGACAATCTCATTGTACAGACCCCGGGTAAAGAACTGACAATCTCACTGTACAGACCCCAGGTAAAGAATCGACAATCCCATTGTACAGACCACGGGTAAAGAATTGACAATCCCATTGTACAGACCACAGGTAAAGAATCGACAACCCCATTGTACAGACCCCGGGTAAAGAATTGACAACCCCTTTGTACAGACCCCGGGTAAAGCATTGACAACCCGATTGTACAGACCCCGGGTAAAGAATCGACAACCCCATTGTACAGACCCCAAGTAAAGAATCGACAACCCCATTGTACAGACCCCGGGTAAAGAATCGACAACCCCATTGTACAGACCTCGGGTAAAGCATTGACAACCCAACTGTACAGACCCCGGGTAAAGAATTGATAACCCCATTGTACAGACCCCGGGTAAAGAATTGACAATCCCATTGTACACACCCCAGGTATTGCATTGACAAGCCCCATTTACATAATACGCAAGTAATGCAATGGCAACCCGCGTGTACAGACCCCAGGTAATGCAGGCTTAGAATCGGTAAGAGTCAACAAACGGGATCCAGACTCGAATATTATCAGATCGCCGTCAGATAACTGTAGTATTGGTGAGTGCAGCGTTAAACAAGACACAAACAAACATATTATACATAATCCAGATAATGCATTGACAACCCCTTTGCACAGACCCCAGTTCAACAACATATAGATATCAGATAACACGGTAAAGAAATTGTAGAATGTATTAGTATTGCTTTATGGTTATTATCCTGGAAATCTTCAATTTATAGTATATGAATTTACGTATCATTAAACAGAGTAGCAATCGGGTAGCCTAGTGGTTAAAGCGTTCGCTCGTCACGCCGAAGACCCGGGTTCGATTCCCGACATGGGGACAATGTGTGAAGCCCATTTGTGGTGTCCCCCGCCGTGGTATTGCTGGAATATTGCTAAAAGCGGCCTAAAACTATACTCACTTACTCACCCAGAAAACAGAAACAGAATATATACACATATATAAATATATATAACAGAAACAGACACCGCGTGTAAGCCTTGTCACTTACTCCGAGTATTCTTCTTCCCCAACAGTTTGTATTTGTAGCGAAATTATAAACATTTAATCAATATTCCTTTAAAGTTCCTTTAATGAAATATATGTCCTTGGTGGCTGTAACACTACGTTTCCTCCAGCAGCGTGAGATGGATACAATAACGGTGTATTGGTGTTTGTGACAAACATAGATTGCATGGGTTCTGGTGTTTTACTTCGGCTTTTCCTTTGTTTCATCCTCAGCTATATGTGACGGTGATATCAACCCCGCTGCTTGCACCATCACATACAGAACATCTCACATCATCTACAGTAACGGCAAGACCCAGTACATCAGTGGAGGGAGCTGCAGTACACCAGGGAAGTGTATCAATTGTAATGACGGCTTCTATGCAAGCCCGGAACGGTGTAGAAGTAAGTACATCAGTCCGTGCAGAAAACAGAAAACTAGGTAGACACCAATCATATCAAACTATATAGTGTTTGTGTTATGTTTTGACTTGATCACAGACACATCCTAATATTTTGTATCTCCTAAATATACAAAATGTAAATTACTTTTATCATTATTAAGTTCAACGCCGATGATAAAGTGTATTGCTGTTTGAGGAGTTATCTTAACACACAAGAAACAGGTCTCCAGCAATCCATGCTTGTCGTAATAGACGACTAACGGAATCGGGTGGTCAGGCTCGCTGACTTGGTTGATACATGTCATCGTATCCCAAATGCGTAGATCGATGCTCACGATGTCAATCACTTGATTGTCTGGTCCAGACTCGATTATTTACATACCTCTCCGTCAGATGGCTGGAATATTGCTGAATATTCACTATCACTGAACTGTGCGCTGCACGGATCTATCGTTCTTAATGCGCTTTTCTGTTAAATGGGGATATTGTGATGCTGTATGGTGAGGTGAGGTGAAACTGGCTTTGACGTCGCGTTCAAAAATACATAGCAACGTGCATGTACGAGTGTGAAACTGCTTGTACAAGGACTGACTGATGCCGGTGTTATAGAGCTAGCCCACTGATATACCATGCCGATGTTTTAACATGAATACCCCCCTCAGACACAGTATACTGACCCCGTGCGGTAAAGTTATGGGAGTTCATAACATTCACATGTGCCCTAGGGTCATATCACGTCACGAGACAACAGTGTATTGTTTCCGTCATCCGGACGGCGTTGTTGACGTAATTCGAATCTTATTGTGGCGTGAGGTCGGAATGACGTCACGCTAGAACAACGTCATGGCTGAAGATTGTCATTCGACAAAATATGGCTCCGCTGTTGTTGCGACTTGCTGTCCTTATAGGTAAACACTAAAATTCGTCTCAGCATGAAGACAATTTCTTTTATAATAAATAGAACATTTTATTCGTGTAAATGTCGTACCATGTTTACGACCCTCGCTCGCTGTCGCACGGGAAATACCGGAATAGAGACACTCGTGTCGTAAACATAGTATGACACGAACACTGATACAATATCCTCAATAGATGCTATATCTCACGTATGTCAGTGTGCACCGCCATCAGCAACTGTGACCTGGAGGAATGCAGCAGCAACACCAACCAGGTGTGTACTCGATGTGACGGGGTTGTGTCGGAGAAGGCAGGATTTAGGGCGTACGTGGCTTCTTCTAACAAGAAATCCTGCATCAGTGAGTATCGTATTAACATATATTGAATACTTTCGTGATGAATAAAACATGTATCATGTTGTCCTCTATTCATATTACTTAAAATTAGTTGTTTTGAATTTGCCATAGAGTCCACCAATATATAACAATAAAAAGGTCGATATAATTCTGTGTTTCATAAATTGTTATTATGGATTACAGAGACGTGTTCCTGGCGGAGTGACAGCACCTGGTGTTATCCAGGGACTTGCCGGAACGAGTACGCCAGCAACTGTGCCTGCTCCAGTGGTTTCACGGGGAAAACCTGCCAGACAAGTAATGTTTCAGTTGCTTAATGTTTCACACAATCAAGGTGACCGACCATGAGATATTCTGGCGCGGGGAGGGGACCCTGTAATATTGTGCGGAGACTTGATATTTTTTCAGCTACAGAATTTAAAAAAAGATTTTTTTAAATAACACCATGGAATAATGTAATTTTTCAGGCAGATCGTTTCTTCTGAGTCACCCACTCAGTCACTCAGTCACTCCCTCAGTCACTCACTCACTCTGTTATTGGGTGAGGAAATATTTTACAAACAAACCTCTTCTTTGTTTCTAAGGCCCAGAAATACACTTCATGGTTCAATGTTACAGTAACAGCGAAGCCAACAATAAACTTCAACCTCCTACGGTTGACCAGCAGCAATGGGGACACGGCCGAGGCACCTCCCAACATCAACAGTGGATCATCTCAGCCCACCAAGTGGTCCAACATCAACTCTCCATCTCGAATGTACTACAAGTTCACTGCTGAGTACAGGACGGTACCCCCAACCAGACATGCTTTCATTGAAGCCTTCGCCGTGGGCATTGTCAGCGCTTCTGCTACCTTCAAACTTAAGAGAAGTATGTTGCTCGTCAGACACTTTTAAAGCTTAGTCGCAATTAAGAGACAATTCTTCTTTCATAATATTTACGCTGACCACCAATTGCATAAGATCAACTCCCGAAGTCACCGAAGCTTCAATTGCTAGTTGTTGGTTGTTGTTGGTTTGTTGTTGATTGTTGTTGGTTTGTTGTTTAACAGGTTAGAATACGCTTTCAGCAACCCATGGTTGTCGTAAGAGGCGACTAACGGGATCGGCTCGCTGTCTTGGTGTATGCATGTCATCGTATTCCAGTTTCGTAGATCGATCATCATGATGTTAATCACTGGATTGTCTGGTCTAGACACGATTATTTACAGACCGCCGTCATATAGCTGGAATATTGCTGAGTGTTGCATTAAACCACAAACCTTCAAACAAATACACAAAAGGGGGCTAAAATGACTGACTTGGAATAATTGTGTAAGTACCCCTTTAAGGGGTAATGACAACATTTAGTTCACGAATCTTTAAATCCATTGGGAACATTAAATTTAATTTATAAAAATGGGAAAGATGTAGTAAAAAGTTCAATAGTCCCAAACCAAACGAAACCAAGTGTTCCATGTTTTTGAGTTTATACCTTTGTTCCACACAAGGAACTAAGATTGTTTGTTTAATAGTATCGATTAGGTTTAAAGTATGTTTGGGATGTTGTTTCTAATACCGGATATTTAAAGGTGTCTTGGGTGGATTTTGGAAAGAACTCCATATGAAACTCACACACCATATACCTAAACGATGGATACAGCTGTTAAAGGTTAATGCACAAAGCAACCACGGTGAACATGTAAATCATTGCGGTCTTCAACATGATATTCTCAAATCTGCAGATAGTAAATTCATTTATAAACGTTTACGGGACACTCTGGGTGAACCTCTTGATAACCTCCATACAAAAAGGGAAAATTTCCAAGGTACGCTTATGTAAACCATTTTTTCTCATTGTAAAACATTACATAATTATATAATTCCAGACATAATTGTACTTGCATATAATAAATACAACAAGAAAAGAAAACAGCACGAAATTCAACAGTAAACGGGAATGTCTTAAATTACACGAAAGAAGAGTCCATTACTACCCCATCCCTGCCTGTCTCATCTCTACATGTCCACTTTCCCCTCAACACCTCTCTCTTTCCCCGTCATTATATTTGATGGTTCTTTCCCTCTGGGCATTCCGGGATAAACTGGACTCAGCAACCTGGACGTAAAAGGCGACCAAATGGAGATAGGGTGTTCAGACCTGGACCTTAATTACAGCTGAAATATTAGCTGAAATAGCTAAGATATTGCTGAGTGCGGCTTTAAGCAACACACACACACACACACACACACACACACACACACACACACACACACACACACACACACACACACACACACACACATACACACACACACCAAATAACCAAAGCGAATATCCCTATATAATTCAACGACATGTTGTTGGACCAAGGTGGACGTGTGACCTCGACTAAGGTGCTTAACTGTGGTGGAGCCAGCAGGACCAGCCCCGACACAGACCTGTTCACCTGTGAAGGAAACCCAACTGGGGCGTCTGTACTGCCTTTACCCTTCCAACACAAAGACGTGTGAGTAGGGGGTGTTGTATTTAGTTATCTTGAGATTTCTTTTCAAAAATGCTTTTGTACATTCGTACATTACAAGACGGTAATAAAAGGATCGAGCCACTCCACCATGACGCTTAATTTAATGTTTTTGTGCAAAAGCTGGGCATCCACTGACAATGTGTTAGGCAGTCTCATTAAATTCATTGCATAATCTACTTTTCATATTTACATTTTGAGGATCACACATTGACGGTTTCGAGTGGGAAGTGACTGGTCCTGAGCAGCAAACAGAAAACCTTCTGTTTCACTTTTCAGGCCAGCCTTCCAAGCGAAGGACACGGCGGGGCTGCTTCACTTCTCAACACACTGTACATAAACTCGATGCAGTGGTCGTTCAGAAAGCCTCTCCCTGAAAACCGTGTCTGGGCCGATTTCATATGGCACTTTGCTTGGTTGACACTAATTTCTGTACCGTCCAGCAGTACATGACCATCAACAAGATCAACACTCATTGAGATTATGTCCTGCACCCTTGGCTCGTTTAATAAAACAGTGGAATGCCTTGGTTTTTTACCATAAGTCTTGACATGCTTCACAAGGGTAGCATCAGACAAATAAATGTTCGCGAAAGTGCAAAATACAATTATTTAATGAAGAGCCTCCACGTTAATCAAACCACGCCCTCCCATTACAACTGATAAATATATGCATTATTATGTACAGATCAAAAAAATGCAGCTAAGAGGATTTTGGTGATCCTGGCACAGTCAGGCTGGTTAGGCTTATCATCAGCTCAGGGCCCTTACCCCCTCTACACGCAGCCCAGTCAGCGAATGGGACTTCTCCCAGGAAGCGCTGCCACCCAAACCACCCAGAAACCATTTCGGAGAATGTGAAGACTCCCCAACACTGCAGCCTTCTGCATTACCCAGATTGTCAGATTATTATTATTATTATTATTATTATTATTATTATTAACTTTTCAGTATTGACTTCTCCTATGCAACAAGCAATGGAGGGAATGTAAAGGTCCGGAACAAGGAGACCAACATCCTAGGAACCCACTACTACACCGGTGCTACACAGACCCACACCTTTACCATGACCATTGACCTGGTGGATCCCTATCACTGTAGTGGTACTACTGCCTGTGTTGGCAGCATGCTGACTGCTCCCAATGTGATCAAAACTGTAAGTTTATGGCCAAACCGAGTATTTCATCCATTTGAAAACATTTTACTTTCTTATGTTCACAGTGTAATGTATTCATCCTGTTATAAATCCATTCTTTCTTTCAGCCGACTGTGAACCTCCGCTGGAGTGGCTGGTCAGATGCCGATGCAGGCGTTGCCCATTTTGTGAGGGAGGTGTATGAACTCCACGCCGTAGGGAATGAACTCAGAGTTAAACGTCAGGTCGATACTACAACTGTAACCAGTTCAACGGTGAGGATGTCATCTTCATTATCAGCATTTCCGCTAAATCCGCCTGTGTTCGTGAGTGCTACAAGAACACCACCACCGTGGGTGCTTCCGGGGAATGATGTGTCCCGTGCTGGTCGTTCGGGCCCCCTTAAGATGATCTGATGATCTCTTTCCGTTGATTACGTATCACCTTGCTTTGGTGGATGCTATCAGCGATGGGTTCGTCTGTTCTAGTTTTGATAAATTACAGACTGTCGCGATATCGCAGTATTATTGCTAACTCTATTGATAAACAACATTGACTCTCTCAGTACCAGTACCAAACAAACGCAACTGATGGAAGAATCACTCAGTTACATGATTCAACTACAAAACATACGAGAAACTGAATCAAATTCTAAACCAAAATGTGAGCTGCCGTGGATTGTTGGCAGTTTATCTGTGCTCAGAAACATGAATCATATACTCGAATGTAAAATAATTTCTTGTTTTTGTGCAGTTTATATTGAGTAAAACCTACATTTCAGACGTCCAACAGCTACACACTTACTACGGCGGGCGTGTACTCTGTTGTCCTATCTGCCTATGACCAGGCAGGTAATCACAGAAGTGCCAGGCGGATCGTGCTCTATGATGGTACGTCGACTGTAACAACTCAGTCTAATAAAGAACTCCGTGTGATGACAGCATCATCAGCAACGTCAGAGTGGCAAACGACGTCATCCGCATTGACAGTGGACTGGACCAACAGATACATCAACACAGTACATCACAACAACAAGTGGCTGCAAGGGGTGGCTTCTCTTGCGGGGCTCGGCTCTGACTTTGATGACAACGAGGGTGACAGAAGAGTGGCTGCCATCGACAATGTTCAGGGTACGATCCGAAGCTTGGTAACGAAAATTCCGCAATATTCCGCTTCCTCTTGACTGATGTTCTATACCTGATGTTGTTAAGACGTTGTACAAAAGACTATTCAACAGTCAACGCAGACATACCAGTTTTCAGTAACTGACCTGTTTTATAGGAATGGCCTACACTAGTGACTAAACACTGTACTGCAAATATGAATTATCTTAGGGCCCTACTCTCACTCTATATGTGTCAATCAGGGGCTGCATATGCATGCGTCCAATACAGTCCTCTGCTATACGACTTATTTGCTTGTACCAGACTTATCTTAAACAATTCGCTGTGCAGAGTTGCGTCCCTTTGGCATGCTAGAAATTTACGATCATGGGTTCGAATTCCGGTTCGACGCAATTATGTTTCTAGCTTTGTAGCTCCATTCCCGTTCTCGCGGATTTAACCAAAGTGGTTAACATTTGAAAGACCTCAACACTTCGTGCTCTCCCCCCCCCCCCCCCCCCCACACACACACATTAAGCTGACACGCAGTGATATAACTGAAACACTGATCAAAGCTGCGTTAAACCCAGCTCACTTATTCACTCCTCCATAATATGACAACCTCTTCAATATCAGCTGTGAAATTGTACATGTGTCAATGCGTTCAATGGAATTTATATTCAACAGGTGTAACGCGATTCTTGTCGTCATACAAAGTCGACCACAAAGGAGGATCTTCCATCGTAAGTCCACCAGATGGTGAGGAGTTCACCAGTCAAGGTCTGAGACAGTCACAAACAATAAAACCCTCAGTAGCGGATGGGGACACTGTACGTTTCTGGGTGCGGGCCTATGACATCAAGTCGGACATGAAAGAAGAAAGTGTGACAGTCAACATAGACACATCACCTCCAGTCATAGAGAACCTGTGGCTCACCAGAGGAGACAGACTCAACATAAGTGTTCATAACGTGGAGGAATTCGCCGAAATGACGCAAGTATTTTTAAAACTACATCTTCCCGCGGCGCAAAGATGTAAAACTCAGACAGCTTAATATTCAACAATGAACGCTTGTAAACGTATATCAAGTGGCAAATTAGTTAAAATTATTGGTAATTTCTAAGAGTACCATTTAGGTCTCTTAACCATGCAAGTATCCGCTGGTCATGGATTCGAATCCTGGTTATGATGCGTGGTCTGTCTACAATTGTTCGTGGGTTTCACCAGATAGGACCCATACCCATACCTATACTCATACTCAATACCCATACTCAATACCCATACTCATACTCAATACCCATACTCAATACTCATACTCAATACTCATACTCAATACCCATACTCAATACCCATACTCAATACCCATACTAAATACCCATACCCTTACTCAATACCCTTATCAATACCCATACCCATACCCATACTCAATACCCTTTTCAGTACCCATACCCATACTAAATACCCATACCCAAACTCAATACCCATACCCAACGGCGTGCGTCCTCCACCATTAGATGTGAGGATGTGATATTTCTGAAATTACAGCGGCATTGAAACATATCTGATCTCTCTCACTGTACATCACAATTATATCAAGAAGTGTTAACATGGTAAACTGTTTTCACAGAATGGAGTGGGTTGCATACGATGAGCACAGCGGCCTGGAGACGGTGTCATGGCGGATTGTAGATAAATACCAGGGTCGAAACATCGTGCATGGACTTCAGCACATCGCGGCTCAAGGAGAAACAACCGTAAGGCAATCTGTGCAGCGAAAACGATTATAGCACTGGATTCATTTAACTTAATCTTAATCCCAATGTTCTTTTCCAATGTTTATCCTTAACTTATTGTACAAGTGGGACAGACAACCATTATTTTACTTGATTAATGGTTTGAAAAAAATAATTGTATATAATGTAGGCATTTTTTTGTAAAACAGAGTATGGCTCATTGCAAGACCACCTTCGCTGGTGTCGCCAGGGGAGCTAACTGTTACTGCACTCCAGCCAAAGGTTGCTACCATCGTCACTTTCAAGTAAGACCGACCGTAGTTGACAGCAGTCTCCCACATGGAGGAATATTCAGTGACAAAAGCAAGGGAGCTCACGACTCGGACTACCATCTAGAGGTCACCGTGACAAACCACGCCAAACTTACTACAAAGATGCAGTTTAAAGTGAGTGGACGATTTCGTGTGGTCCATTGGTATCCGTGATCTGATATGTTCTTCAAAACTCCTGACATTCTCTTCCACGTTCTTATCCAGGTGACAATAGACGCAAGTGCCCCTCATCCTGGCGTTGTCCACGATGGTCAGTCTGGACGCCCGGAAGTTGACTACCAGGACAGTCTCCAGCTCCGCGCCCACTGGGACGGATTCTTTGACAGAGAGAGTGGAGTCAAATTCTACCAATATAGATTTGGCTCAAACTGTTTCCAAGCAGATGATTTTGGATTAGACACAGGTTCATTGCAGGTACACAGAACTGCCCTTGTTCCTTTTCTTGTCATTATTTTATTATAAATTCTAAATGTAGCTAACATCATCTACGCTTTATCAGTCTTGCGTACTCATACTCAGTACTTCCTGGAATCGGTTTTGTTGTCACGTCATATGAAATAAACTGTTGGACAAACTTTCGCCATGCTTCACGCACAATTTATATCTATCTTTTGCCATATAATGAAAACACCTAATTTGCCAATCCATCGTAGTTGGCAATATGAATTCTCACTGGAGGTTTGATAGGGGCACTGCCACAATTTTCATAATAGTTACAAATCCGGGCTTCAATATGTATCCATGAACTATTGTAGGGATTGTATACTATGGTTATAATTGTCTGAATATTATTTCACACGAATTCGTTAGTTATTAGCAAGTCAGTATGAGGTGAGATCTGTTTTAATTCCATTTTAAGTAGATCTGAATATGTTGAAACTCTATCGCCGTTTTTTGTTAAGTGAAGCTCAAAGATCAAGTGAAAAATAATTGATATTTACCTTCAACACCATAGTTATTTAGATCGAAGCCTAATTTCGTTCAGTCGTGTCGCTTCTTGAAGTGAGTGGGTGGTAAAGTATCAGTCAGCTGTACAATCTTATGACCATCAGAACCATGTTCATTTACGGGTATTCTAGGGGTCATCGAATGTTCCAATGGTCAGACACCCATCAATGTGTTATTTCACGCGCACACGAACAGCAAGAAGGCCAGGATTATTGGCTTTCTTACAGATGTGTTTGTTATGACATGCGGAAGTCCCCAAAATTTACAGGTAGATTGTAGGTTTTGAAGAATAATACCCTCCCATTTTTGCTCATATTTGTGTGGTGCGAGGCAGTTTCAAGTTCGGAGGGTTTTCGGAGTTCAAACTTAATAATCTTTCATGCAGGTCACTGAAACTTATTCCACATCCGCCTCCTGGACAGCGCCCTCTGTCGGCAAGTATCACGTCACAGTGGTGGCCTACAACCGAGCACTAGAAGCATCCGACCCTGTGTGTTCTGACGGAGTGACTATAGACACAACGCCACCTAGTGTCAGTGACGTGGCAGTGAGAGACTCCATAGTGGTGGAGGGCCTGGTCAAGTCATCAGATAATGCCGTGTGGTTCATCGACGCCCACAGAAGACGAACCCCATTAGTCACTCCAGATAACACTTGCAGGTACATAAATACTGTTTACCCTTTGTTATACTCGTTGTCATCTCAGCGATAAAGTGTATGACATGAATGTTGGTTTCTCTACAGTTCCAAGGCTACGTCTGTAGATGACGGGAAGCTTTCCCTGTTTCCAACACATCGCTACAACAACGGAAGTGTGGTGCAACTCTACAACCCTGAGTGTGAATCTCTCCTGGCATTGCCTGCCACCTTCATCAACACACTCTACATCTACAGAGAACACCATGTGAGTACACAACGTCTTGGCTACTTCACATGCGGGGACCACGGGGATCTATCGTCTAAGGGTCATGGCCGGAAACCTATTCGCCCCGATTGTGCTTCTAAATTTGTCAGCACCTTACCCGTGATATTGGCTTTCACCAAATTGGTAAACGTCTGAGACATTCATCACTCAGGCTTTCCTCACATATTAACCTGACACGTCGTAATATAACTGTAACACCCCATTTTCCACATTGTTGGTAGTCACGAATCATGTACCTAATCCTTACTATTTGGTAAATTGTGTTTATACAGTAGGCATTCTCAGCATTTGATTCTAACCTAAAGTTTCATTGCCAGCTATTTGTAAACTGGACTGGCAGTGACACAGAGAGCGGTATTTATGACTACGAGCTGGGGCTGATGTCAGATCCTTCTGATAAAGACGCTCCAGACATCCTGCCCTACACGTCCACTCATCATCATCCTCAGTATCAGGGCTACCATCCTCGTCTCAGTGAGGGGCAAGAGTTCTACATCGCCATCAAGGCTATCAACAAAGCTGCACTCACAACCATAAAGGTAGGAACAACATCACACTGCACTGAAGTGCTGAACATTACCAGATATTCTTTAGTTATTTGATTGAATAGTTATCATATCCAGGGCATGTCAGAAGGATTTCATTCAGTTTACTTACAGGTATGCAAAGCAAGCTTGCGTTTCAGCCTCTGTGCATTAATGGTATCTGGTTGTGTGTTTATTTCATAGATCATAGGTCCCTTAATCGTTCACACAACATACCCTGGATTTACGGGCGTAGTGAGAATGAGTGTTGGCAGTAGTCACCTCCTAGCACGGTGGTCTGACAAGGCCTTCTCGGACCCAGAGACGTCCTATCTCAAGTACGAAGTGGCTGTCGGTATGTAGAGGGATGCTCATTCTACATTATCTTCTCATTCCATAATGCGCTGTGTAATCTGAAATCATTTTAACACATTCAAAAACTATTTCACACGATCGACCAGTGCAAACCAATTGTTCATGTGCAGGATCTAAAGACGAACAATCGACAGTAATTCCCTTCACGGCCCTGCAGTCAGGAGGGGGATGCACACTGACGTCGCCACCTACATGTACAGCTGTAGCCCTCACAGACCTCCACTGGGACCTCCATCACAGCCACACCTACTTTGTGTCAGTCAGGGTCACCAACATAGTCGGGCTGTCCACAGTTGCAGTGTCGGAGCCCTACGTCCATGACGTGGCACTACCGTCACATGGTGTTGTGGAAGACGTAATTCCAGCTGGAGAAGAATCCTTGTTTGATATAAGTGTAAGTTTGAAAGTGAGAACATGTAGTTTATGACACCTTAATTATCCCTTTGCATCATTCCGACAAACTGTATGTAAATGCCTGCTTCTTGTATGCTAAATGGATGTGTTGGGCATGCAGGGTGCTTAGTTTTTGATGTACGATAACTTGCCGTTGTAGTTACAACATGGTGTGGGTTGTTTCCTAACTTGCTGTTGTAAGTACGATAACTTGTAGATATGCAAATTGTCTGTTGACGATTTAGTGTTGTAGATATGACAAATTGGTTGTGTAGGTATGTCAAATTGGTGTTGTGGGTATGACGATTTAGTATTGTAGATATGACAAGTTGGTGTTGTAGGTATGACAAAGAGCTGTTGTAGGTATGACCAATTGGTGTAGGTATGTCAACGTGCTGTTGTAAGTATGACAAATTGATGATGTAGGTATGTCAACCTACTGTTGTATTTTCTTGCTGTTGTATTTTGATAAATGGTGTTGTAGGTATGCTAATTTGGTGTTGTAGGCATTTGACGATACTGACCATCAGGTGTCCACCTCAGTCCTTAGAGCCAGATGGTACGGATTCGACACAGGTGTCAGCGTCGTAACCTATAAGGTTGGAATTGGCTCTCGGCCTTCGCAAACTGATGTCAAGGAGCTTGTGTCAGTGGGAAACAAACTGCAACATGAATTTAATGACTTAAGTATGACAGAAAATCAGGTAAGAATATAGACAGACAGACAGTCCTGTTATTCACTAAAAGGGTCCCGGCCCAAAATACATACATGATATGGAAATAAACAAATGATATCAATGATCTTTCTCTGCATGATAGAAATATTATTAATTGTCGGATATTTACTCATTTTTTTTAAAATAAACTTGAATGTTGGACAGCAGATGTGTTGTTTATATTCAACGGCAAAATAGCACGTAAGCTTGCGTGATTTACAATATCTTCTTTCAATCATATTTCATATCTGCCAGTTTAAATAGCAAGCTTGGGATTGTAAAATCTAAATCGGGAATAGGTTGTTCTCAAATGTTAAGGAAGGTCATCTATGCTTATTTTTTTTGGAAATATTTAGGAGGGATTAAAACTGAATATAGTTAAAACACAAATGAGTAAAGTGCTTTATTATCTCCTTCCAGAAGTATTTTGTGACTGTCGTGGCAGTTACTGGTGGAGGAGAGATGACGGTGTCCTCTGACGGTGTGACGATCATCAGGCCAAATGTTGATGTCACAGGTGTCACTATTAGAGATGGACCAGGGTGCCGTGATTCTGGTATGTTCAATGAACCATTATCATGAAGTAGCTAATTGTTTGTTCATAACATTAACCATAGTTTGACTTACACATGTTCAGTATGTGTTTTACAGAGAGCGTCGATACAATTGTGTGCAACACGTATGGTACGAAACATATCTTTGTCTTTATATTAGTGTACATATATACCCTGTAAGCCCGAATGGTGACGTCACGCATAGTGAGTGAGTGAGTGAGTTTGGTTTAACGCCGCTTTGAACAGTATTCCAGTTATATCAAGGCGTGTCAGCTTAATGTAGGAGGAAAGCCCGAAGTGATGCAGGTCTCAGACGTTTACCACTTCGGTGAAACATAATCGGGGCTAACCGGGATTCGAACCCACAATCAGGTTTCTGGCGTGCCCAAGGGACGCAACACTGCACAGGGAATCGCGGCGCCTTAGACGACTGGGCCACCCGTGCCTCCCTCACGCATAGTGAGATGCTGAAGGTACCGTGTGATACAAACATCATTCTTCAGTTATCCACAGTATATGAGTACAGTTCTTGCATGCGAAAACAATGATTGGAAAATGGAACTTTTGTCTGTGTTGTATTCAAACTGTAGACCTTCCATGTGCAGGTATCCGAGACTTGGCGGGCCAGGGTAACCAACCGGTAAGGAAACTATGAATAAAGTTTCTTCATGTCTGTCTGGATGGATGCAATTAATATTAATATATATGTCACTTGTCGAGCGCAATTGTCCATAAACCGATGAATGCTTAATGCACCGAAGAAGAGAGAAAAGCTAGTTAGTTAAAGGCACTTCGAAAGAGATACGTTTTTAGTTGTGACTTATAGGTTGCCTGAGTTATGTAGAGTTTGATTTGAAAAGGTAAGGCATTCCAAAGAATCGGAGAGGATAATCCTTTTCCATAGGAAGACGTATATTAAGACTTGGGACTTATAGTAAGAGCTGGTTTTTGTATGGAAACGAGTTTTTTTTTACAGCTACACCTGTAAAACTATATATTTTATTTAATTAAGACTATGAGCTTAAATCGTTTTTAAACACTTGTATCAATGTATAAATTTGCCTGACAGTTTCTATTCTTTTCAACAGTCGGAAGCAAATTTATCTCCCTTTTTCTGGGACAATCTATTTTTCTTATAACTTCGTCTCATACTTCTATATTTTATGGCTGTAGTAAGAGAAAGACATCACGGCGGTTTATGGATATTAATATCACAGAAAAAAGGAACACATTTGTTTTGAGACATTCAGGAAACGGTGGTGGCGGCGAGGAGTCCTTTATTGCAGGGTTGAGTTAAAACATACATCATTTTAATGTATTCGGTTCCATAATTAAATACCCTCTCCAAAATACATTTACAACAACAAATTGCATAGTTTACATGCAAAAGTCAAATGCATATAAATACTCTTGCTGTCTTGGACAGTTTTGCATGGATCATTGCACAGAACAGTTCTAATGATTCTAAAAGGTTACACTCAAACAAGTACTGGTATGAGGCTGCACATGTATAACCCCGAGGTTAGGATCCTCGTGCTGACTAAAACGGAACAAGCAATAGATTATGCTGATCTTATTTTGCAGGTTGTGTGAACCCCTTTTAAATTGCCATGTGTTTTTTATACAGGTATGCACCACCGATATCACATACCAAGTATCCCCTTCGACATATTCTGCCTACTGGACGAGAAGTGACGTCAGTAAAGAGAGGTACCCGGAAGTATATTGGAGTCTGCAGGAAAAACTTCCCCGGTCAGGTAATTCATTTTCTTACCTTATTTACTGTCAAAAATTCGTTTTAAGAAAGATTATGTTATTTAAAATATACCGAAATAAAGATAGCACAGCATTGTACCTGTTCATATTGCAGATGATTTGTGGCACGGCGTGAGAGATTACGAGCATCTTGGGACATCGGAGAAGATTGCAGTCGGAGGTGTGGCATTAGAGCCAGGACATATGTATAAAGCCTCTGTCAAGTTCTGTGCTGGTAAAGTCTGTATGAAGCCCATCCACAGTGACGGTGTGACTGTCATACCGCACCCCCCAGCAACTGGAAGCATGGCACTGACATATGAGGAGTCTGTGGGGGGACAGGCACAGGTAAGTTCCTGTTTTTTGTTGACTCTGATATTGTCGCCTGTTGTATATAAAATGAGGCTTATGGCGGGTTTTTTATGTAGATCCAGGTGACGATGTCCCGGTTCCGTGATTCCGACATACCCGTGGCATCGGAAGCCTATGACGTCATTGACAAGTACGAGTGGGGACTCACAGATAACAGTCACAGCAGCAAAATGTTGATCAACTGGCAGACGGTCGACGCCGAAAGAATAAACACCATAGGCGACAAGGTAGTCGTGTTCATCTTACATAGATTAGCCATGAACGAAAGGTTGGATTCAGCAGCCGCAATGGCCTAAACATGTCTACATTCAAACGACGCCATCCCTCCGACCGGTTTTTGTATAAGCTTAGCAATAATTTGTTAATGTTTGGTTGTAGTATGCGTTTCTTAAGATTTGGCTGCTAAGCAATCAGGAAACGTTTCTACAGTAGAATTCTTTTTACAGATACGTTTCCAGATAACTCTTCCGCAGCATCTCGACTTTACTAAGTGCAGAAGAGTAGCAGTCAGAGGCTACACTCGAGTTGGCCTATATGCAACAGTGTCGGCGGATGTCAAAGACTGTGCAGCGTTTGACCCGGTGTATATTGTACCTTCAGTTGTCCTAGATGCTATTGGTAGGTTACTTTTTAAGCTCACCGACCTGACGATTCATGCAGCATCGTAGTGTAGTATATGTAAAAATGAAGTAGCGAATGTCACATGAATTAGGGCATATGCCGTGAACAGAGAACTGCAGTAAAATGATGCGTATACTAGCATTTGCTGGTCAAAGAACCTTTGTCCAGAAACCATACATTTCACAAAATTTACAACTGAATTAAACTCCAAGCGACTTAAAACGGTGAAATGTTATTTAACGATCAACACTGTAGTGCCTCTTTTTCAAGTCAAATGACCTGTACTTAATTCCAAAGTAATATATTACAATAAACCGTGCTTACCCCTATCGAGGTTGATATGCAGACTCCCAATTTACTCTCCTAGCCCACAGTTGAACCCTGAGCAACTTGTAAAGCATGTACCAAATGTATACACTTAAAAACTCTAGTGTATTCCTGCACTTATTTTGGTCTTACATACTGAACACAAGCAGTGGATGTGTGTCTCACGAATACTTGTATATGACTAGATATGCTAAACATGTATTTGAAATCTGTACACATCTGTATTGTAGGCAAAGCAAAAGCACCAGATCAGGGTTATAGCATAAGCTTAGATCAGAACAATCACTGGGAACACGCTGATGCTGACTACACTCCCTACAAGAACATCCTGTCTGCTGTGTGGCCGACTCTGCGTCACAGGAACTACACGTGGGCAGTGGTGTCAGGTGACCAGGTGGACCCCTCGTCTCACTACAAGAGAGAGAGTCTGATGACCGTCACTGACCCCTGTAGCATGCCGGATGTCATCAGGTGTGGACATACAGGTAAGTGTGTAAATACATGATGAGTAAATACTGAAAGTACCCACTTATCAGAGGGGTACACAAAGTATGTGATCTAGACTACCTGTTGTAGCACTTCCATTTTGAGAAAGCCTCGGTGGCTGAGTGGGTTAGATCGCCGACTCTGAGAATGTGGGTGGAATCCCGGATGGGACTCAACCCCCAGAAAGTGTTATCCCAAATAAAACATTTGTTAAATCCTGAAAGCTTGTCAGTCATTGTTGTAGGTTTGTGTGATGGTGCAGGTAGTCATCAGTCTGTACCTTCCCTGCTTCAGCGGACAAATGGCCAATATTCCAGCCGAGTAGAACCATAATCTCTATTCCATCTTGTTACAATGGTGGCAATCATTGACTGCCCTCAACCCAACACATTGGATCAGTTCATCGTCTGTGTTCAACAACTGTTTCGCCCCACATTCCGAGAATTGTTTCATTGAAGTCAGGCGATACTCAAACAAACTTTGTTGTAGGGTTGACAATTGGGTGTATGTAACTATTTCCATCCTTCTTAAAATTGTATCAAAGGTGAGGTGAAATGGGGTTCAACGTCGCGTTCAAGATTATTACAGTCATAACACATAGTGAAATCCGCGTGCGTGTGTGAACGGGATCGTGTATGCGTGCGTGTACGTGTGTGTGACACACACACACACACACACACACACACACACACACACACACACACAGAGAGAGAGAGAGTCCTTGTTTAATCTTCTTAATGGCGATCGACCAGGCAAGACATCAACAACTACCATCATTAACGACTTCAGGTATGAAAGATCGAACCACCGACCTTTCGCTCTCCGGCCAGACGCTTTATCCACTTCACATCCACTACGGTCTTGGAGCAAAACAAAAAAATAGTATTGTGATGGTTTGATGAGTATCGGCACGTTCCTACAATACAGCTTTCCTGGGTTTCCTGGTGTTTTACTTGTCAGGGATGTGATGCCATCGGATCATAGACAACTTCAATTTAGTAAAGTTCAATCAATTGTTACACTTACATGTACTTGAAGCAAATATGTTTTTGTCCAGCTGATGAGTTCCTTAACGTAGAACTCAGTGAAGGAACCTATCTCCAGCATGGGAAGAGGTTTTATGTGTGCATCCATGCCGATGAAAAGAACGCTCCGTTCGAGAAGTGGACGTCCCAGCTGACTGAAGTGAATGCCTGCAGTGACGGCATCACAGTCGACCTCACACCACCTTCACCGGGGACAGTTCACATTGGAGGTCTTACTGGCATGTACCAGGTACAAACAGAAGTGGATGCAATATGGACAACACGCGTATTCATGTCTCGATATCACATTACATATCCCAAAAAGTGATGAATGGGGGAGCTATTATCTAGAGATAATAATGTGTGTAACCTAATCGAAAAGTACAAACACTAGTGAGAGGGGCTAGATAGTGTCATGTGCTGAAATGTCTCTCAACTGGGGTTTGGTCTTGCTTGGTTACCCAAGTTACTGCTGGATTTAATAGTGTGTGAGTGACTTGGGTTCAAGGCCGTCTATAACAGTATTCCAGTTATATCATGAGGTGCCAGCTTAATCTGGGAGGAAAGCCCGAAGTGAGACCTGCATCATACCACTCAGACGTTAACCACTTTGGTGATCCTCACGAGCACGGGTATGGTGCAGAAAAACCTAGAAACATAATCGGGGCGAACTGGGATTCGAACCCACAATTATAGGTTCCTTGCGTGCCCAAGGGACGGAACTCTGCAAAGCTAATGGCGGCTTTAGGCTTTAAGGCACCCATACCCCTCGTTGGTGAGAAACATATCCAGTTGGGGTGCAGAACAGACATGGGTTCTGGGGTGAACTTAGATTCGCATAAATGCAGGGAATGACGGAAGGAAGACGTCAGCATATTCGTGATAACTCACTAATGTCCGGTATGTTTGAAGGTGAGCACCACGGAAGTTGATGTGAAGTGGGCAGGCTTCACGGATGTGGAGGAGGAGAAGGCAGCTTCACACTGGAGTGGAATCGCAGCTTATCAAGTTGCTATAGGTACAGACAGACTTAATTAAACAACATTGATCGACGGGGAGTGTCACTTCTTTTTTGTGACTTATAAACCCCCAGTGACGTCATATTGGTCTTCACTCGGATAAAACCTCATAAACGGGGATGTTATAATATCCTTTCTTTAGCGTAGAGAGTAAACCATTTGCCTGCAGAGGCGCTGATAAATCACATTGCTATAAAGAATCTCTTGTTCAAGAACATGTACACAAGGAAGTCATACTTTACGCCCGTAACATTGTAACGTTGTTGATAATAGTTGTTTCAAAAACATTTTCGGTTTATGCAACACTTCCCCGCGGATATTTTCCTGCACATAAAGAGATTTTGCTCCCACATTATCCTATTCAACGTGTGATTTACATAGGACTATTACAATCATGTGCCTGTACACCCTTTCAGTTAACCATTCCTTCACGTTGCAGGATCTGTTCCCAGTGGAGAAGATATAGTCAAGTTCACCGATGTCGGTTCTGTGCAGCGTGCAACCCTACATAGTCTGAACCTCCAGATTGGCAGAACATACTATGCGTCTATCAAGGGTAATATTTTTTTAAATTTTATCTTATGGGGGTTGGGGGTCGGAAAAGAGGATCGGGTGATCAGGCTGATTGCGTGTCACCGTGCCCGGATGGTGTGGCTCGTTGCGCATGCTCATCTGTCTGGTTTATCTGGCACAGACTCGGATATTGACAGGCCGTCATGATAGCGGGGTGTGTGTGTGTGTGTGTGTGTGTGTGTGTGTGTGTGTGTGTGTGGGGCGGGGGGGGGGGGGGGGGGGGGGGATATCAAGGATTTTGGTTCATTCACTGAGCTATGTTTTGATGTATAAAGTCGTGTCTTATGCATTAATGTGCAGTCTTGGTTTGCAGCAATTGATTTTGTGAACAAAACAACAGTGGCAGGGTCAGACGGGTTCCTTGTCGACTCCACAGCCCCAACACTAACTGGTCGCCACATACAACTGGAGCACAGATACATAGCGTCTCGTCTCCTTCATGTTTGGTACGTCATGCTTCATACCAGATCATTTTCACCATGTACTATATATACAGTGATGCTGAATGGAATGTTACTCATTTACTATTTTAATAAGTACACATGTGTGTTTTACAACAATGTATTTTGACTTGATTATCTCTGATCATGACATATCTTTTATAAAGATTTCAATTAATCACAATTACACTAACGTGCTTAAATGTGTTTAATCTCATGTTGATGACCGCTGTTTACTACCGTTTTATAGGGTCATTTCATTCTTCTTTTCACAGTTGGACTAATGTATTCTCTGATCAGGAGAGTGGACTGTCAGCCTACATGGTTGCCATGGGCACCAGGCCAGGCTACGACGATTTGATAGAATACACCTTTACAGACCAAGAATGTCTCGATATGGATACGCATGGTCGCGCAATTGATGGACACTCTTATTTCATCTCCTTAAAGGTATACATATATGTTTACATATAACGTTGTAATGAATTACCCGAACTTGAGAATCAGTGGCTTCACAACCTTTAATAATGAACACATGAAGTACGATTATGTGTGATTTCTGTATTTTGATTGGGGGCATCCATCCTTAGAACTGAGTCAGTTACTCAGATTAAGGTTTCTTTACTTTACTTGTCGGTCATGCAACACGTTTTACTCTCTGCAATGGTATAAACGTTTTATTCCGCAGGGATACAACGGTGCAGGTTTGTACACACTGACCTCATCACGGCCTCTGGTTGCGGACACAATGCCTCCATCTGCTGGCCACGTCTACGACGGAGTACAGTCAGCTGCCACACATGGTGACAAGGACAAGGATTATATCACCAGTGTCTCCGAGATGGGGGCCTACTGGGAAGGCTTTGTCGACCCACACTCTCCGATTGCGGTGTACAAGGTGAAGGTCGGGACCTGTGCAGGATGCGATGATACCCTTGGGGAAATAGAATATGGATTAACTCCCAGTAAGTAGAGTATTTTCAATTAACCGAATTTATACAGTTTTTACTCTGGACTATAATTCAAAATATTGACATTTGATCTGCGTGCCTTAAAGCAAATGAGTGAGTGAGTGTGGTTTTACGCCGCTTTTGGGAATATTCCAGCAATATCACGGCGGGGGACACCAGAAATGGGCTTCACACATTGTACCCATGTCGGGAATCGAGCCCGGGTCTTCGGCGTGACGAGCGAACGCTTTAACCAACCACTCGGCTACCCGACCGCCCTTAAAGCAAATGATACATCTTGGTTTATACAGACATCAGCCTCCTGCATATCCTGGTCTCCCCTGGAGTGAAGTACTTCACCACAGTGACAGCCTGTAACACAGCAGACCTCTGCAGCAGGTCCTCCACCTCAGACGGTGTCATCCTGGACAGCTCCCCGCCAGTTGCTGGCACAGTGCAGGATGGCACAGGCGATGTGGACATACAGTTCCAGGCTTCCAGGTGAGGCGATTACTTCAGGAGCACGAACACATATGCATTGTTCGATGGTTCAATGTCATGTTGATAGATGTGTTGTGTGCGTACATACGTGCATAGTTTCGAATCCAGGTTCGCCCCGATTATATTTCTAGGGTTGTCAGCACCATACCTATGCTCATGGGTTTCACCAAAGTGGTAAACGTCTGAGACCTGCACCACTTAGTGCTTTCCTACCACATTTAGTTGACACCGTGATATGACTGGAAGACTCTTCAAAGCGGCGTAAAATCCAACTCACTCACCCACATACGTGTATGCGTATATTAGCAACCTGAATTTAACGAGTATTTATATTAGTACGAATAGTGTACATCGATCCACATTGTTTACCCATACTGAATTTACACAGGGATTGTTTCTAGATGGCCACGTGGAATCGATATATTCAATAAAAAGCCGGGCACTTTTTCTATTAATTGACTGCACGGATGATAACATTATCCTCATAATGTTTTTCTCGAGATTTTCGACAATGGAATAATTATTTCGATTACATATTTCTTAGATGAAAATAGTCCAAGCTTATTCTTTATTCAAGCCATTCTCTCGGAATAATACAACAACACCTAAGGATATTTAAACAGATTTGTTCATATCTGGACTTTGCACAAACCGTTCCCCCAGTGCTAGTATCGTGTAGTGTCACGTAGCTTGTTTGACTTCATTGTGCTTTTCTTTGTTTGGAGTTATTCATAACTATCTTCTTAAAATGAAACTAGTGTCAATCAACGTCTTATACAATACTTGCAAAACAAATTAATGCATATCTCAACCTACGTTGCTTTGTTACTCTACTGTGGCAGTGAAACATGATGATGATGATGATGATGATGATGATGATGATGATGATGATGATACTGTTGTTATCATGGTTATATTTTATTGGTGCCTTTGCTTCAACAAGTGTATGAAATAATTCATAAATTCCATTGCCAAGAAAAGTGAAATTCAGAAAACGTGCAGGTCGCGTATTTCTGCTACGAATGCAATGTCATAAAAATGAGGCCTTAGTTCTTGCTAACGCTGAGCAAAGATCTGAGGACATCCCATTAGGGGTCACGTCAGAACGACCTTTCATCCGACCAATCAGAGCATCGCTTACCAGATTGTTAGCTTACTGAATCCATACAATCTAGACCATCTATTAGACATTCCAGAATGTTCTTTTGTTCAGGTTTCAAATTTGTAATCTAGAATTTGTCAAAATATGTTTCGAAGCGTAGTCGCCAATTTGCAATTAGTGCCGTAAAGTACGAGAAAGCTGCCTTCTGATTGGTCATTCCATTGGTCGGTCAAAGTTGGCGCAAGGTCGGTCTCACGTGACCCGTAATGGGGTGTCAGAATTCTATGGTAGTCTCAATATTCACCTTTCTACCTAGAAGGACCGACATATTTGAAAAATAAGGCTTGGTGTTGAATCGTCAAATTGCATTAGTAAAAGTAAGAAATAAGTCCACATAAACAATATTTTGATAACTAAATGTTTACTGTGATGATAATTATAGCAGGGAGATTGTATAAGATTTAAATGGGCTCCCTGATAATGCACAGTGTGCCACCACATATGCTGTGCCCGCTCTTAAGGATTTATTTATTTCAGGCGCGAGGGGTAGGCTTGTGGTTAAAACTTCTACACTTCACACTGAAGGCCCGAGTTCCATTGCCGACGTGGGTACAAAGTGTAAAACCCATTTCTGGTGTTACCCGCCGTGATATTGCTGGAATATTGCTGAAAGCGATGTAAAACCATACCAACTCACTTATTTAAACAACTCACTCATATATTTCAAGCGTGGTGTAATTGTTCACCTGTGTATTTGCACTAGCTTGGCTGATAAATAACAGAAATAAAACCGTTTTGTGGTTTTGTCAGGACATTCATCGGGTGCAAGTGGCGAGGCTTCCATGACCCTGAGTCTGGGGTAGGCCACTATGAATGGCGTGTGGGGACAACACCAGGAGGTGACGAGATTCTCGCAGCCAGGAATGCAGCCCTTGAGGAGGTCATGTTCCACACCATGTCACGTGACCAGCAGTTGCCAGTAGGACGGACGATCTACACCACTGTCAGGGCCTTCAATAAAGCAGGTACACGGAGCTTTAACAGAAAGATTGCATTGAGAAATTACAAAAAACATCGCTGGACTTCCCAATCTTGCTCTACAATTAGCCAAATGTGTGTATAGAAACAAACCATATGTGTCCCCTTACTAGATGAGCATGAAGAAATACACGTTTACTAATTATTTCAACACAATGTTGTAAAATGTAATTGTCTATGTCATTGCCATGTATTTTGTAAATCAGCATTCACTCACTCAATGTCAATATATTTTGTTTCCAGTAAGCGACAAGGCCATTTTAACGCAAACAGTCAGCAGTCTTCAGAGGCTGTCCTATATTTGTACTCAGGGGCCATGATAACAATGACTGATGCTGATCACTTTTAACTGGCATTTGAACAAATTTGTTAAAACAATATTAACGGAATGCAATGCTTTATATTTCCTTTGTTCACATTTCTTTATAAAGTTCCAACCATGTAAGTGCTGCTTGAAAGAGAGATCTGGTTATAAATAGAGAATGTCTTCTGTTGGTCGTTGTACTGATACATTCAGGTCTTGTGATAGCCGTCGTACTGATACATTCAGGTCTTATGTTGGCCATCGTACTGATACATTCAGGTCTTGTGATGGTCATCGTACGGATACATTCAGGTCTTATGTTGGCCATCGTATTGATACATTAAGGTCTTAGGATGGTCATCATATTGAAACATTCAGGTCTTATGTTGGCCGTCGTATTGAAACATTCAGGTCTTGTGATAGCCGTCGTACTGATACATTCAGGTCTTATGTTGGTCATCGTACTGATACATTCAGGTCTTATGTTGGTCATCGTACTGATACATTCAGGTCTTATGTTGGTCATCGTACTGAAACATTCAGCTCTTAGGATGGTCATCGTACTGATACATTCAGGTCTTATGGTGGTCATCGTACTGATACATTCAGGTCTTATGTTGGTCATCGTACTGATACATTCAGGTCCTATGTTGGCCATCGAATTGATACATTCAGGTCTTGTAACGGCCGACGTATTGGTACATTCAGGTCTCTACACGGAGTCTACGTCCAATGGTGTCATCATCGACGACAGCGCGCCGACAGTGGTGAAATCACCGGCGTTGACGCCGGCTCTAGCGTCAGCTGTAGCCCAGTCGTCCGTTAGCCGAACAACTCTGAGCACACAATGGAAATATGAGGACGTACAGTCGTCTGTGGAAAGGCAGTACCTTTCTCTGTCTTCTCATCAACTCGGGGAGTTCAAGCGCTCCACTATTGAGGTAAGATGACACAAATGTCGGCACAGTGAGTGAGTGTGTGAGTTTGTACGCCGCTTAAGCAATATTCCATAACATCATAACGACAGATATTGGTTATGTACTCATCGAGACAGCCCTTTAACCATCTAACTACCCCATTGTTACCTGCTATGAAGACATGTATTATGATGACAAACACTGGTATTGATGAATACAATCGGATGTAGTTCGGATGTCTGCCGACACGAGGCACTGTGGGTGTATCTGGTCACCAACCCAAGCATTATACACTGTGGATGCAGTACATAGCCCTCAACATGCTTCACGTGTTATGAAAGCAATTAAACCATCTATCATCTCCTACAATTCGCACTTTGGGTTGACGTTTGGACGAGTAGGACTTTCTCTATAAGCAGACAACCGGTATCGGATATTGTAAAGGAATAATGTCATTCACTACAATGTGGATAAAATTAGATGACGTACCTGACAGGTTAATACCAGATTGAGTTATTTTGTCTGAAGTCCATAAATAGACTATCAATAGCAACATCTACTGGTGTGTTTTTTTATGGAGAAATGTCACCAATTTTTAATGTTCTCAGAAATATGTCCCGCAACGTCCTGTTGAACGAACATCACAGGCAAAATATGATCAATTGGGAGTGTTGTTTATCGGAGATTGATTACCACTATTATCCGCATCATTATTCAAATTAGTAAGGTTGATATTTAAAAGTGAACGTCATTTTCTTTTTTAGATCCCAAGTTTTCTCACTGAGTACACCTATACTGGCCTTGAACTTCACGATGGAAGTAGATACAAGGTGAAGGTGATTGCTTGCAATATGGCGGGTCTCTGCACAAATGCTGAAACTCAAGACATTCTGGTTGACAGCTCAAAGCCTCACACAGGTATGCTGGTAATTGACATACATATGAAAAGTTTTGTTTCAGGCAGAGGACCGAGTTTGTTGATATTATACTTCTGTAAAAGAGGGAAGTGATGGCCTGTGGGGCACCTAGCTACCGGTTGACAAGGACTCCCGACACTTCTCTTTCCCAATTTACGTTTATTCGCTGAATGATATGACACATTGTATTGCGGCATCGGAACTCTTGAAATGATTGTTTTCACTGTTCATTACAGGTACATTTGCTATAGAAACTGACCACGCAGCGAGATTGTCCCGGCACCAGCAAGGCGGGATGACGTGGACAAGGAACAGTCTGAAGCTAACCTGGCTGGGCTTCTCCGATCTCCATTCCGAAATAGACCATTATCTTGTTTCAGTGGGATTCCAAGAGTTCGGCACCGATTACAATAAGGTATTATAATAATGACTGCAACACAGAAAAGTATAATCTCTGAAGTGAAGGTGTACACAACGAAATCCAAATATCCTGAAGATGGCTGAAACTGGATGGTGCGATCTATGTACAAAGCTGACATCTTGTACAGGGCCCGTTCCTCAATGCGATCGTAACGCTACAAGTGTCGTAAGTCGATGGTATGTAAGTATGGGAGTACGATCGTTTTGTGGAACGGGGCCCTGGTGATTATCAACCATGCATAACATTGTATGTTTTTTAGGGCAAGGTTCCCGCAAGCACCCCCCATGATGCATCCGGAGTTGACAAGGGCGACGAGGGAGTCCTCCAGACGTTCACTGTAGCCACCGAGACCCTGCCTCCAGAGGGGTCTGTGTTTGTAGCTATCTGGGCTGTGAATGGGGTAGGTTGCATACTTTAATACGAGCAGGTGTTAAACAACACCCATGTCGGTAGCATCCCAATTTAGCATAGATGCTTGGTAAACATGCTTTGACGAGTCTTGTGTGTATTTTCAGGTAGGACTACAGAGCGACGCGTACCACGCTGAACTGGAGCTTGATGGAGACCGGATACTGTGGCTGGTGAGGAGGTGCCAGGCCTACAACTGCGAGGGGCACTGTGTCTGTGCTGTGGAAGGCGGAACGTGTCATGATACCAAGGGCTGTACAACACTGAAGAACGGTATGAACTGTTTGCTTTGCATTTTTTAGAAGTTGTAATTGGTAGGTCACAGTACTAAGATAATTCATGGTTGACAACATCTTTATTCTATTATGATGCGACGTTTCAGTATAGATCCTCATGCCGTTGTCAAGCTGTTGTCACTGATACAGTCAATGTGTAAAATGACTGAAATTTTCAAAACGACTAAATAATATTTTATATATCTATCTATTTTATTATGATTCCAAACATTTTGATGTCACCCAGTGACTGAAATGACAGGAGTAGGAGAAAACGAAAGTCAATGTATGTTTTATTTATTGTTTGGCTTCTAATCCTAGCATAATTAGTCTGTGATGTTTTTGTGATGTTTTTATTGCCTTTTGAACTTCATAATCATTTTTAGTCAATCTGTCAGGATTTTTCTGCCAATTTGTAAGACTTAACACATTGACTATAGCATACACACACTTATAGAAACCTGCCCATCGTGCAGTGCAGTTAATGATTTCCGCCAAAGATAAAGTAAGTGATGTTGTTACAGGAGGAGGGAACAGTATTGCAACTGTCATCGATGTCACTGATCTTAGTTTCCCGTCTGCCGCTCCTGACGTGGATTTCTCTCCCGTGAACACATTCATGGCTGCCATGTGGTCTGTGACAGCATCCCAGGGTTTGCCTATCACACGGTAGGTTGTTTCTACGGCTCACAGTTCATGCATTACTGTTTCCTTAATTATACTGAAGGTTAAAACCACATTATACATTGGATGATGATAATGACGACGGTGATGATGATGGTGACGACGATGACGATCACCACGGCCACGACCACGACGACGATGATGATGATGATGCTCACAATACATAACGATTTTTTTTTCATTTTTCAGCTATGAGTACAGTATTGGAGAGAGCGGCAAGTCTTCACCACAGGGTGTTTTCAGTATCGCCACAGACAGAATATGGTTTGATGCGGGACAACAAACTTCTGCAATTATGTCTCTGCCACAAGGTATTGCATGAGTGTCGGTTGGTAATTTAAGCCTTGGTATTTTGCAGGTCTTTCAGTCATAATCATATTTGGTTTATGACAAGGGTTCAGACGTACGTTAAAGGATATATGTTTACAGTACTGCTAATTATGTCTATTTACGTACCTGCCAGGCTGTAAACACTTGGTAGTTCCTCTTACAGTAATACATAGAGGATATTTCATGTGGCGATTAAAATATCATGTATCGAGTGACGGGGGAGAAAATATCTCCTTTCCCCATCACGAGATAGGAGAAACATGCTATTTCACGATAAACATGAAATATCCTATTTATAGTTTACTTTTTGGGTAGTTATCTACAGGAAAATTTAATAATTTCATTACAAACATGGACCGCGCCCGTCCAGATAGCAGAAGGTCCGGCGTTTGATCCTAGTCTGCGTCATACCAAAAGATGGAATTGTTTTTACGCTGTCTGGCGCTCGGCATTAAGGAGCTAGTCGGCACGGAGTCGGTATACTGTGTCTTAATGGGGTATTCATGTTCAGCTGCGGCATGGTACCCTAGTGGGCTAGCACTATAACACATGTGCATGAACGTCATCGTTTAAGTGTAGTAATCTTGGACGCGACGTTACACCCCCATTTCACCTCACCATTACAAATGTAAAACCTTGAAACGTAAACTCTCCCTACCTAACACGCATGGACGTTTCACCATCCCTTGTAATTGCGACTTAAAAAATAGTTCCATGTTTGAATATCTTTACAAATATAAACAAATGTAACGTAAAATATCTGATCGTTCATTTGGATATGATTATATACAAAATCAACTTCAACAAAAAATATTCTTGAAATCTACGTGACCGCTGATGGAAGTGACAGAATACAAGCTGGTCAAGTAACAAAATGGCGCTTTGCGAAACGAACAGCCTCGATTGACGAGGTAAATGAGAAATTTACAGTTCATTACGAAACATTTTCAAGAGAATAACAACCGGCAAAAAGCTATATCAAGTAAGTTACGGGCAAGACACTTTCGAGGAAGGGAGACGGGGAGGCAAATCTTGTATGGTAATAGTTCCGACAAAGTGTTGTGTTCACTGCAATGAAAATATCACTTTTACCAACTTCAGAAAACTCAAGTCTTCACACTGAGTGAGTGAGTGAATTTGATTTTACGCCGCTTTTAGCAATATTCCAGCAATATCACGGCGGGGGACACCATAAATGGGCTTCACTCGTTGTACCCATGTCGGGAATCGAGCCCGGGTCTTCGGCGTGACGAGCGAACGCATTAACCACTAAGCTACCCTACCGCCCCTCTTCACACTGAAGTTTATTATAAAAGCACAACATACACACAAACAGACATTCACAACACGTGTCCTTCACATTAGAATATAAGCCCAAAGTAACACAATATTATTGCAATTACTTTATTATTATTAACCATAGAAATTGCTAATTGCAGGCAGGTCGTTGACGTCTGGAGGAAAGTATTCCTTCTTCGTGAGGGCCTGGTATGATGACAATACCTACAGCATCTTCACTTCCGACGGCGTCATTGTCGACACCTCCCCACCGGCTGTGACAGACAAGCTCGGCCTTGCTGTAAGTTAAATTGTAAATTTAAAACATGCTTCTAGTTGAACCTGATCGCGTGTTGCATCATACTAATATGTATTTGCCTGTACCTGTTTTAAGGTAAAAGAAGTCGAGGGTACCGGCAAAACGAAGGACGTTGACTTCCAGATTAAAGCAGATACAGTGACCTTCACTTGGACCAACAAGTTCATCCTTGGTCAGAGCGGCATTCTCAAATACAGACAATACATAAGCACCGTCCCCAAAGGTAATACTATGACTTTTCAACGGTGCATCACTATATATTTTGATAATCTAAACGACTACTTCACTAATAGCCCTCGTTAATTTTTGTGATAAATGGTAATGTCTAAGCAAGAATGATGAGGGTATAAACTGCTTGCCTGAAGGCAATGAACGATAAGGGGTATAAACTGCTTACCTGAAGGTAATGAACGATGAGGGGTATAAACTGCTTACCTAATGATAATGAACGATGGGGGGTATAAACTGATTACCTGAAGGTAATGAACGCTGAGGGGTATAAACTGCTTACCTGAAGGTAATGAATGATGAGGGGTATAAACTGATTACCTGAAGGTAATGAACGATGAGGGGTATAAACTGCTTACCTGAAGGTAATGAATGATGAGGGGTATAAACTGCTTACCTGAAGGTAATGAACGATGAGGGGTATAAACTGCTTACCTGAAGGTAATGAACGATGAGGGGTATAAACTGCTTACCTGAAGGTAATGAACGATGAGGGGTATAAACTGATTACCTGAAGGTAATGAACGATGAGGGGTATAAACTGCTTACCTGAAGGTAATGAACGATGGGGGGCATAAACTGATTTGCTAATGATAATGAATGATGAGGGGTATAAACTGCTTACCTGAAGGTAATAAACGATGAGGGGTATAAACTGCTTACCTGAAGGTAATGAACGATGAGGGGTATAAACTGATTACCGAATGATGAGGGGTATAAACTGCTTACCTGAAGGTAATGAACGATGGGGGGCATAAACTGATTTGCTAATGATAATAAATGATGAGGGGTATAAACTGTCTCCTAATGAACGTAATGGACGATGAATGTAGTTTGAAGGGCAGAGTTGGTCATTTTATCATATTATCATGTTGCTAACTTGGATAAATTTTACATATTTATATACCAGTGTCACGTCGGTATGTATTATAGTATTCCTGCTGGAATAGGGTTGACTGTGGCGATAAACAACATCCACTAACCCATTCACCTGTAGCTAATGTATATCGCCAGTATTTCTGCCGACAGCACTAGCGTGTCTCAAATCTAATAAAGATATATTTCTGCGCACGAAATGTGATTTTAATGGAACGAAACCATTTATACTTATATTGGTCCAGGTGAATTGATACATCACACAGCCTGCACATAAAAGTTATAAACAACCATATAACTTATTGACGTCAATTCGCCAAATTGAATATTCATTTTCAGGTCACAGTATTCACGCTTCCGGGGATCTGACCTCCACCAGCTACACAGCGACAGGTCTGAGTCTACGTCCAAACACAGTTTACTACTCCAGTGTCCTGGCTTACAACAAGGCTGGTCTGGTCAGCTGGGCCTACTCTGATGGTGTACAGGTGGACGTCCTGCCTCCTGAACCAGGAAGAGTGCACGATGGCCTGGGTTCGTACCATAACAAAGCATTATAGCCTTGTAAACGCATGACCAACGATAACAAAAGCATATTTACATGTCAAAAATGGTATTCGGGTGTCCAGGGCCCCGTTCCACCAAGCGATCTTAGCGCTAAGGTGATCGTAAGTCCCATACTTTAACATAGGCTTACGATCATCGTAGCGCTAAGATCGCTTTGAGGAACGGGGCACAGGACATCATGTTCCAAATTGTTTATCTTTATGCTCATATGTTGAGTATTGTTATAGATATCCACGACAAGGACTACCAGAGTTCTCCATCAGAAGTCTCGGCCTCCTGGTACGGCTTCTCGGACACAGACTCCACAATCGTCAAGTATTTCTGGTGTGTGGGGACAGTCAACGACACAACAGACTGCAGTGTGAAGGACTGGCTGGATACCGGACTACACACCTCTTTCAGGACATCGATATCACCTCTCATTTCCAGTGGTAGGTGTCAACACTGTTTGTGTCTACTGTAGAAGACACCGAGGAACTTGCATTTTTTGCCGTGTTTATGATTTCACGTACACTAAATGCATAACATCGTCTATATTTTCAGGTACAAAATTATGGAGCAAAGTGTATGCTGTAGATGCAGTGGGTCATACCTCTGATGTATCTGTGTCTGATGGAGTTGTCATCGACACATCCCCACCTGAACCTCAGGCTATGGCATATCTTGGAGACAATCTGGTGAAGAACCCGTCGTTCGAGGTTGATAATATTACTGGTATTGCCACACGCTGCAACCTTGTCTTACCTTCATCATGGGAAACTGACACAGCGTCCTGCATCAAGGTGCTAGCGCCCGAATCACCTTTAGCTAAAGAGGGAAATATGTTTGTGTCAGTCAGTGGGAGCATTCACCAAACGATCTCGGGTCTTGAGACTGGGAGGCAGTACAAGCTGACACTGCATGTTGGATACCCAGAAACCGTTTCCAACAATCACAGATCAGTTGATGCAATAGTTACAATAGGAGGTGAACTTTTCAGCTTCACACTTGACCCTAACCTCTGTGGAGGCACCTGCAATGTCGGAGAACACTCAGTCATCCTCTGGAACAAACACACATACAGGTTCACATCCGCGGATACCAGTGCAGTACTGAAGATAGCATCATCGTCCCGGATGATGGAGTTTGTGCTGGACCATGTGAGTGTTCAGACTGTGGACTATGTTGCTGGTCCGGACAGTGTGGATACAGAGGAGCATCTGATGGTCCACTCTGTGTTCATGTCTCACTGGTCATCTCTACATGCTTCCTGGCACTTTGAGGATCAGCAGTCCCCAATTACACAGTACAAGTGGGCGATTGGTAATTATTCCAGTATTATCATATGTAATGGGCGATATGTTCCAAATGTTCAACAAGAACATTCTTGAGAGAATATGAAAAGTTTATGAAGATTAAAGTGTCACTGCTTAGTGCTACGAATGCTAAAGTATTAGTCTTTTCCAGGCTCGGTCACCGGTGGAACACAGCTACAGAGCTACAAGAGCGTGGGGCGGCAAACACAGGCAACCGTCTCAGACCTTCGCCTGACGCACAACGCGAGAGTTTACATCACTGTCATGGCAACCAATGGTGCTGGACTGACGAGTGTCACGTCCTCTGATCCCGTCACGGTGGACATGACTCCGCCGCAGTTTGACTTTGTCATGGATGGTGCCGGTATGTACAGAAAATATCACGACTTTTGAATTCAGCTAGTCTGGGTAGAACAAACCAGTGGTGAAAAGCTGCAGCAGGGATCCATGGCGTCGAGGTATAACGACACACTGTAACCACTGATCCTTATTTTAGATGGTTCTTGCGATAAGCGGTGGCTACTGGTTACATATTCTGCCCTGAAACCCCTCCTGAGAGGCCTTGCATCGCGTGACTGTCTTCAAGTGGTCCTTCTTCCCAAACCCATGTTTATCTTCATCATTCATATCTTTACTGACGTCTAAATCGCTTTCATTTTGCATTTTTTCAGCACTAGACGAGGATTACCAGTCATCAGGTGTAGTGAGCGTAAACTGGCAGGTGCAGGATGCAGAGTCAGGCGTTGATCACTGTGACTGGGCTATCGGTACGTCTTCTGTGCTGATAGTCACAAGAGAGCGGCTCTGTTTAGCATTAATCTTCCAATTCCCTTAAATGGCCATTGTTGATAACAAATACTTTGGGCTATGAAATATGTAAAGATATTTTCTATACTTCCACAACTGCACACAGTACGGTCCGAGCCGCTATACGTATTATGTGTTATAATTAAAGGTTGTCGGTAAGCGACTATAGTCATGGGAGTGTTATGCTGTCGTTGTAGGGAGAACACGAGGCAGCAGTGACATGAAACAGTTTGAGAGGGTCCCTCCAGGCCAGGCCACAGCTCAACATGATATTAGCACAAAGCTCCATACGTCGTCTATGACGGTCTACACAACAGTCCGGTGCTTCAACAAGGCAGGACTGGTGGCGGCCATGACGTCAGATGGAGTTGAGGTGATCCAGGCTAGGAACCAAACATCAATTCTAGGCTTCGGTATCCTGAAAGAAAGTCAGTCGGTGTACAGTGAGAGAGATGTGTGTCACCAGAGTCAGGAGAAAGTCAGACTCCATTGGGAAGAAACAAGCAGCAATTTCAAAGATGTTGTGGTAAGTTTAAGGTTTGTGGTTATAGAAACATTTTTGAAATGCCCCTTAATGCCTTCCTAGCAAAGCCTAGTGTATGAAATTAGCACTGTGTTTTTTTGTTTGTTATTTAACGCCACGCTCAGCAATTCCAGCTATATGACGGAGATCTGTAAATAATCGAGTTTGGACCAGACAATCCATGCATGACATCATGAGCATCGATCTTCGTATTTGGGACACAATGACATGCTTTGCCTAGTCAGGTCAGCAAGCGCGACCAACAGGTCCCGTCAATTGCCTCTTACAACCACAATGGGTTACTGAAGACCAGTTCTAACCCGGATCTTCACTGGTCAGAACCTTGGTGTATATTTCAGTGATACTGTGCATGAACATTGTGAAAATGAAATGCCAATCGCAAGGGGTCAATTGTCTATCCTCTGCCTAATGCATGCTTTATACCATTTCCCATATTGTCCCATTGTTCAGGTTGGAATCGAGGGAGAGAAGATTGCATATCAGATCGACGTTTCCAATTCCTTGGAATATACATTTGCAACGCTGGCGGGCTTGAAACTCCAGAACGGTTCAGACTATGAGGCCCTTATCTTCCCTGTGGATGTACTTGGGGGAACAGGAGAAAAGACTGCCTCGAATTTCACAGTCCATGGAATTCCTCCAGCAGTTTCTGGTAAGCTTTTGCCACTCTCTTCATATGGTTGTGTGTAAGGATATGATATTTAGAGATAAGAACTAGTTTATTAACATATGTGGGAACAGTAAATATCATATACAATATAGTACTTAAAAAGTTGAATTTATGATTGAATTTCCTTTACTTGCAAATCACTTATTTATTTATTTATTTATTTATTTATTTATTTATTTATTTATTGATAGTAATTGCTATTATTATTAGTGTTATTTAATAGGATGAGTAGTTGTTGTTGTTGTTATTATTTTTATTATGTGAAACACTTTTTCAGCCTCCAGGAGTATGTCGCTGGCACGCAATGGCTCGGACTTGCTAGTGTCGTGGCCATCTGTGTTCACCTCCCCGTGGGATACCCTGCAGTACGAAATCCAGGCGGGTACTGTTCAGGCAGGGGCCGACATTGTTGAGAGAATGCTGACCAAGAAAACTGAATTTCGAATTACCTTGGCTTCAACGCACAACAACATCAAAAGCTTATTTCTAACTGTAGCTGCTTTTGACCCATGCGGCCTGTCGGCCTATCACTCGAAGGTGTTCAGTATAGCCTAGATAACATACACGTTACGTTTCCTGATTCACAAAACATTCAGACGGCCATAGGTGATACTTTCATTTTATTCATATTTATGGTAAGGGCTGTACGGACACCAATCCTTTGGTTTTATTAATAACGTTTCAAGATAAATGTCATCACAGTTTTATTTGTTTGTATCTATTTTCTATGTTGCATTTCGATAAATCTCGAAAATGGAAATGCACAGAACTTAGAAATTTTGAAGAAATTTTCTCCTGCAGTTCTGTGAATGTACCCCGTGTCTTAGTTTGCACAACAAACATGCCCTTATTGACTGTGATACAGAGTTTATTTTCTCCTTGAATTCCATATATTGATTAAAAGATATCTTTTTCTTAACCACGTTACGTTGATATTTTATTCGTGATGAAGATTCAGGTTATTTAAGATGCTTAAGGTGTTGTCAGAATTTTGCAAACAAAGCGGCACCTGTACATCTCAGGGATATTTTATCCTTGATAGCCCTAAGGGACTTTTTGAGACAGTGATCAGTCACGACATGGGTTCAGACCATAATCTAAATATCCTGCAGGTCAATGGACATATGTAGGGCAACTCGTAACTAACTCGTTCTATTCCGGGACAAGCCAAATGCAGATTCGTGCCTCTCTCGAAGGCATCCATATTGGTGTATGGACGGCTTATTCTCGTGGGAGCGACATTCTGTCCAATGTGAAGATGTTCCTACAGAACCCATATCAGTCTCACCCACCTTGGCAATCTATACTGGGCTATCTATCATAAGAGAATGAGTTGACCATTAATCCTTAAATTCATAAAATAAACAACACAAGCAGTTTAACTCAACTACCATTCGTGTTTATTAACGCTTTTCAGCACACACCACAAATGTATACAATACCTTTAAAATAATACCGTAATCGAGGTGTGGAAGCATTGAAACTCGTCAACGTACTCCATCCTGGAGACTGTCCCTGCTTGAAATCTCTCTCAGTACTTGAAGTATATTTTCCATATTCTTGTACTTGCGTCATGTGGGCTGGTTGTTTTGTCCACCGCCTGGTAATGGACACGTGTTTCATTGATAAGCTGAAATCGTCCAGGCTCTTGCGGGTCTTGTAATAGGATTGCGAAGCCGAAGGTGCAAGCCCTCCAAATGAGCTTTGGTCCTTGGCCCATCGTTTTGCCTGATGACCCACGGATGAAGTTCACCCAGTTGTTGAAGTAGTCGGCAAGGTCAAGGCAGCGTTGGTCGTCAGATAGGGCATCTAGGACGTCGATCCAATGAGCTTCGACCTGAAATCAATAATAACGCATTGGAAATATTGTACAAATTCAAAGTAAAAGAGAAAAACAAATACCACAATTGCACTTTTCATGTAAATCTGCTGGATACAAGAGATCTTCTAGACCTATCCAAGGTGCTTCCCTCAACGTGTTAACCTCCTCCTTGTACAGTGATTGTAAAGCTGATGTCGTGTCAGCTTCCTTCTAGATTATCGCCCAAATCCCCTTCATCTTTATATGCGGACTGGATATTGGTTGTGCTCAATTGGCAACGATGTCATACCATCGGAGATGACTTCTCTAGACACTGTTAGGATTGCCAGTTATCTTTCTTCGCCTGACTTCTCTCCTAATTAAACAATAAGTGATTGCGAATCATGAACATCACTGTACATATTCAGTCTCGCTAAAGCATAAGCTGTTGAGAAAAACAAGGCACAATTACAATTTCAAAAACTAATGGAAGACAACTAATGTGGAAACTGTGTGCTGAAAAGAATACTACAGCTTTGGAAGAGTTGGTAATATACAGAATAGATTGTGTGGGAAGATAGTAATCCTTTACAGCTTAAATAAGCCGGAATAAATGTACAAATTAGTGATACGTTAAGTTCCATGCGCCATTTCTGTAAGTATTTAATGATTAACTTTTTACGATGTCTTCCTTCTATGTTTTTTATGAATTAATCTCTTTCAAATTTCGAAATAATTCATCTGAATTAGTTTGTCTAAGCGTGTTTTAATTGGTGGTATAATAATGGTGTGTGTGTGTGTGTGTGTGTGTGTGTGTGTGTGTGTGTGTGTGTGTGTGTTTAATTGTTTGTTGTTTAACGCCGCACTTAGCAATATTCATAGTTGTGAAAATGTATTAAGGAATCATTTTTTGCAAACAGCCTTTAACAAAAATATGTTCGTTCGGTCATCTCTTATTAATGTTATAAAGTGTTAGACACGGATCAAACAATACAAAGTGGCGTGTTTGTAGGGATGACTTAGACAACAATCAGCCCAATGCATAAAAAAACAACTAAATCCGTTTTTAGATATATTTGACTTACAACTGTTCTAATGTTATGATCCATTTACATAAAACCACCCATAAATATCTGGTAATGCTTCAGTCTGGTATCATTGATGTTTCAACTTTGTACATCGATATTCCACACGACAAACTTCAGGGAAAACTTCATTCCTTGATCCATGGGGCTTTTCTTACAAAACGTGGTGACCAAAGATACAGAGGTTCACGACAATTGGTAAAAAATGAACGCAAATGCCATCTGAAGTTTACTCAGAAAACAATATGTGAAATTCTGGACTTCCTCATTGATAACATCCACGTAAAAATTGGGGGTGTTACATTTAGGCAAGAAGTAGGCATCCCCATGGGCACAAATTGTGCCCCCCTTCATGCGGATCTGTTTCTTAATGCATATGAATCGGAATTTCGGATCGGATCGGTCAGAGTCAAAACAAGGTAATTTTGCAAAGAAGTTTAACTTAAGCTTCAAGTATATTGGTGATCTGATATCGTTCAAAGACAATAAAATTACCAATTCTCTTCCACTGATTTCCCCACCTGAACTAGAAATAAAGGTGACCAGTGAGACCGCCTCATCTGTTTCATATTTAGATCTATGCATAAAGATTCATAGTGACAAAACACTCTCAGATAAAATGTATGACAAGAGGGATGACTTCAACTTTCCAATAGTCAACTTTCCCTTTATGTCAAGCAATATTCCAGCAGTCTAGCCCTTGGTGTTTACATTTCACAACTTTTGAGATACAATCGAGCATGTTCTTTTTATCAATATTTCAAAGAGCGTCATACAACTCTTGCTCAGATGTGGATTGATCAAGGTTACAACATTCAAGGCCTCGGTAAAGCTTTCAAAAGGTTTTCTGGTAGACATGTTGATGTCGTTTCCAAATTTGACGCAACAGTGACAAGGATTATGTCCGATGCAATTCCCTATTTTGACTTGTACCATATGTTCCCCTGCTTTTTTCAGGTGAATTGACTTGCCTTTGCATGTGCTTGTGACGGGTGCTACCGTTGGGGCAGGATACGCTCATCATTTCGTGAACACCTAGTATCATTACTATTTTATAGTGATTCATAAACACATGCTCATGATTTAGTTGTAAACCGTACAATCGACTCTGTTTTATGCAGAGATTTCTATTTGATATGGAAAGGGTTTTGACGCTTTATTTACAGCACTGGTTGTGAAAAAGAAATTGTCCCAATACATAAGTGCGGTCGAGTCTGATGGTAGATATTTAATTTGTACCCCAGAGCAGTATCTGACGAAGTCATATTTACAGACAGTTTTGTAAATAAAAGCTACCATTTAGCAGAAAGTATAATTGACCTGTGAAAATGCAATCTTGTCTTCGTTCAATATTTAGCAGTCAACTTTTGATAAATCAATACATATATTTTGTCTTAATCTGAATCACCGAAATGTTACCAAAAACACGACGCTTTTGTCACCGAACTGTTACTTGCTTCTTCGCCAAATAAGTCTAAGAAGATGACAACAGACCACCGCACGAAGTGATGGAACTAGCTGCAATGGAATCATTTTAGCACCTTGTTTTACATGCACTCGAATTACCCTCAATTTAATTGATTTGCTAATTGCCTATTTGGCAGTTACTAGTAGTCTTTATCTGCAATGGCTATAATCTGATGCTCTGGAACCATTACTAAATCGCTGATAAATCGTAGTTGCTAAGCTGCCTATGCCTTCACACACAGTTCAGGAGCCATGATTTTACCTTATAGTACCTGGTGTTATTGATCCGAAAAACTTGGTATCACGATCCGATAAATATGCAAATAAGATCGTCAAGCAGCTACGTTCAAGCTTCATACATCAATGCGATGCATTCGCTCTTAATAAACTACTGACTAACCTCCCGATACGTTTAGGCAGTGAGGTGCACTCAAAAAATGTATTCATACGCGTTTCTAAAACTATTTCACTGTAAACCAGTAGCAAACAAATTCAACACCGGCTTGTTATCAAACTATCTCAAATTTGGTCGGAGCAATTGAGTTTGTCCATGTTGTGGTCCGGAAATTAAAATGTGATGTGACAAGCGAGGCTTTATTGTAAAATCTCATTTGGTCTATTGATAGGGGACCTAACAAATAAACCAACAAATCTGAAACAACCACCTGTCGAGCTATGTCAATATTTGTTTTATTTGTTGTGGTTCCAAGGTTAAAGGATCCGACTTTATTGTCATGGCAGGATCATTTCCGGAACACAGCTTAAAGTTGGACTAAGCTTTCTGACAATAGAAACAAATATGCTTTCAAAGCTTGGAAACGGAAAAGGTCTGGAAACGTTTAGAATGTGTCAACTGTAATAGTTTCGAAATGTTTACTGTCGTAATTTATTAAACGAATATATGTTTCCTTTTTTGTAAACATGTTTACAATGTACAGTCTGTGATAGTTTCCAAACATCTTTTTTGATAGTTTATTAGCACCCTGAATAGATTACTCCATAAACTGTTTTGAAAATCAATAAACACGTTTTGAAATTGTTTACAAGAGTATTCAGCTTTTAAAAAATCTACAATTTGCAAATTGTGCTCATATTATCTAGTTTATTGTGATACTCTATGCTCTTGTAAAGCTATAACAAAACGCTCAGCTGTATTACACTGTGTCCATAAGTATTTGATGCGTACGTTATAAGTAGAATAAAGCAAAGTAACTATAAAAATTATTTTCTTTTTATGCAAAGTAGTTTTGCTACTTCACGGAGTTAATCAGCGAATAACAGTTACAATATGACTTCAGCCTAATAATATGACGTCATAGCCATTGCAGTGTGACGCCATGACCAGGAATGACGGGAAGGCGGCAAATTATAATATGTACTAAACTGGGTTCCTGTCCACCTAAACTAGTAGACAGCCGGCGGCCGATTTGTCGTAGGCTCCGCTTGGACGACACTAAACATATCGTTCATTGGTCCTCGGTATCGAAAACAAATTGCGGACTACGTGAAGTTTGTTTGCAAAGTAAATGTGCTCTCGACAAAATTAACACTAGCAAAGCAGATTGT